GACCTTGATATCTTTGACTTCTTCAGCCTAGCTGTTGCATGTGTTTATGTGTGAGTAACTGTTCCAGCGTAATGCCTGTAGGCGCTCGCTTATCTGGATAATCATAGTGTTTATGCAGTGGCTTCTAGGAGATTTTCACATCATGCCAGACATTCCTAATTCATAGTTTTCCCTCTGTAAAGATCTGATTCGAATCCTGTTTGAAAATTTGTTTCCTTTACAAAACATGGCCTGATAAGGAGCATTTTTGATATGAACCTAGTTCCAATTTTCTCGACGTGGCAGAAGATCAGTTTCTTACTCGCATTTTTTCTACTTCCTCGCTTCTGTCTAATAGATTTTTGAATAGGGTTTTTTTGCTAAATTCTCTGCTTGATTTGTCTCATTGAATTTTTACACGTGACTGCCTTATTGAAATGACGAAGTATATACGTGTGCATTTGCACAAAAACTTTGCATCACGTGAGGGCGTCTGTTTAGGTTTGCCCGTAATTATGTTTTTCGTGAGTAATAACTCGGAAGTTCTGCAAGTACGGATGTCGCTTGGCGCTACAAGCTTGTTTGTAGGAATATGAAAGAATCTTTCGACGGAAAAGATATCAGTTTTTCAAATTGTAAAGAAAACATCTCACTTTTGCGTTCTTCGCGTTCAAGGGAGATTTTCGCCTACCGGCAACTCCTTCCTCAGGAAAATGGAAAAGCTAGAAGGATACTAAAGTTTGTTTCTGTAACATACACATTGCACTGGAAATTCCACAAAATTTTTCCCTGGGGAGGGGAGACTTTTGAAGAGTGGCATTATATTAAAGTATAGTGTCCTCCAAAAGTTTCTTGGGAAACATTCCTTTCAATGCCAAACTTCTTACGGAGGTAATATAAGCTTATAACGACTCAATTAGTTTGTTCACTTGCAAATTTATTTATTTATTTATTTATCTATTTAATACATTACTATATATAAATATCATAACTTTGGAACTCAAACCTCGTGCAAAAGTCTTGCGACCAATTCTTTGCGCTTCGCAACTCGTAATACCAGTAATATTTACATTTGAAAGTGTTTTGATCTTCGAAAGTTTTCACTCCGAAAATACTACTTTTCTCATAAATTGACAAAAGCAACAATGCAGCTTTACTAAATTTGACGCATGGCAAGAAACGTTTTGATTGAGTACTTTTTCACAGAATGGCGACAGGATTGACATCATTCCCCTCACTAATGGATTTCTTTTTCCAGGGATATTGCAAAATTTATATTTAGGCTCATAATCGGAAGTCAAGTGCAGAAATCATGGGGCAGAAATTTTCATTAAGTATTCGAGGGTTTGGGGTAGCTTCTCTATTTATAACATAGTTAAAAGAGAGAGAGCTAGACATCCCTGTTTACTTTGTCACTCAATTAATATTCAAAATTGCTAGCATCCGTCAAAAATAGCTAGGATGGCTCATTTACGAACGAATGCAAAGTGTTGCAAAATTTTTTCCTGAAATTTATGTAGTTAAAACATCTTCTCTTTGTATATAGATACATATACTAAGTTACATTTACACTACAACCATGTGCATTGCTGGCCAATTTTCTTTTTTATTTCTCTTAGTCATCATCATTTTTTTGCTACTCATCAAATCTACCATAAGAATGCAAATGTATGCATTCTTTCGTCATCTACTCTCTCTCATATTTACAATTCATTCAATTATGTTGAGATTTATTCATTTACTTTCTTATTCTTCGCTCATCCAAGCGACTGAATTTTCTAGACTCCAGACAAACATATTAAAAGCCCTTCACTCTCTCATACATGTCCTGGTTTGGGAAGAAGGTCCTTCTAGACAGACTGACAGACTGCGTTCTTGCGCCGCCTCTTTTCTAAGCTGCTTTTGAGTATATACCCAGTGTGAATAACAATCTCTTCCACCACATCTTTCGAGAACCTCTAATAACACAATTTTCGAAAATGCAAAATTGCTTTTGAATCGGATTTCAGGCGTTATTTTTTTGCTATTAGATGATTTTCATAATTAATTACGTAAATGAATCTGATTTAGCACTCATACAAATCGTAATCTAAAGAGTCAGTCATCTATCCGTTTTGAGAATTTTTTATGACGAGGTGGCGTAAAAATTAAGGTACATCAAGGTTGAGTTTCTTACCCAAACTTTTTAAAGGACTAGTTGAAAATAATAACCTTTGTAAGAAGCCATAAACAATCTCCTAAGCGACAGTATGTATTCAGCCCTAGTAGAAGCCGAAGTCAAGGAAAAGCTGTCTTTTTTCCAAAATTTATGAAATTATTTCTAAATTCGTGTCTCTTCCTCCTTTGATTGTTTGAGTGTTTTGTTCAGCTTTTGATTATTTTTGTGCTTTGTTTTTAGAAATACGCAAATTTTTTTGTGAGACTTACTTTGGCTGCATGAACTTGAATATTTTGGCATGAATGCAAAAATTTGGAGAATGAATTTGCCATCCTTAGGAAGCTTTGAAGTACACAAGGAAGTGCAAAATTACGTTTTTGTGGGCGTAGAAGCTTTGTCATGTAGATGATCTGCTTTAGGATTCCGTAGAAATTCGGTTAATTCATTCATTTAATCGACCACGCATAATGTTCTGTTTGAAATGAACTTTTATCATTTTTTCCTTGATAAATATCCCGCCTCTCACATCCTCCTTCCCCTCTGCTTAAACCGAATGTTACCTTTGAGGGAAAACAATATATTATGTGGTACAAGCTCCCACGTCAATAACAACTCCTAATCGTTCATGATTGCTCAGTACAATCTGTGAGACATTGTTTATCACCGAGTCAGCGCTGATGAAGTTTTTCCTGTATGGATGTTTTCCTGTTTATAATGTTCCAGAAAATTGCTTACAGCTTTTATTTACACTCATGCCATAATGGGATTCAAATTTCTTTGGTCTATAGGAAGGCTTCCGTTTGTATGGAGTATAGAATTCGGGATGTTCTGTAATCCGCTGCTCAAACAACTTTTTTCAACGATAGCAGTGTGAAATCAAATTCTCTACTGAACGCAAGAACTCAAAAACCCATTTTCAAAAGCTCATTGAACTGAAAACTGAAGCTTTAATAACGCAAAAAGCTAGCTCATTAGAGATATAAAAAATGTACAACCCTTATGTGGGATCCCATCCCATCTATCCTTCCCACCCAGTCGTTCCATTAACTTCGGCCACCTTTGCTATAGATGAATAACGTTTATTAGTTTGACATTCTAATGCACCTGCCTATTTAGGTTTTTTAGACAACAAACAATCTCAGTTTCTTATTTTCTCAGCCCGGAAGTGCTGAAAAGTCGCTTATTTTCCTCCTCATTTATCCAGTATGTCAGCGGTATTAGGAATTCGTTCTAGTTTCGGCGTACAATCTGAAAGTATGGTTGATTCATTTCACACCAAATAGTTCGGCTAGATGAGGAAAGCTTCAAAAAGTTTTAAGTGCAAGTCTTTTTCTATGGATAATTTAGTATAAGTATTTCAAAGATTTCCTAGTAGGATATTCATAGAAAGTAACCCGTAAGAAACATTCAGTGCGAAATTCCATACATAGAAAGAACAGGTCATGAATCGAAGACTGGATTAAGATTCGTAAATAGTTCTCCTTTTTTCGCAATTCAAGATTAAAATTTTACTTTTTGAGCTATTTATCACTCTATGTCGCCGTACTGAACCCGTATACAAATACTAAAAAAGGCCATGTTTACCTCTTTTCAGATTGCTTTGAATTTTTAAAGCTTGAGAAAGTCACTAGTTTAGGGTAATCGCTGAGAGATTTATAGACGAATTTGATAGCCTGGAGGTAAATGGTATATTGATTTTAATTAGGGGGGGATAGTTTTATCGTTGAGGATTTGTACTTTAAACTTCATAGTACGTCTGATGTGATTGTATCAATTGATTCACTTGGTTGATAAAATTTTTTCCTTATCGACATAGTCGCTGATGCTTGTATGTTGTAGTAATGTATGTGTACACGTGCATGCTCAACAATAATGAATTATTCTGCGAAAATTAAGACGCGATGTTAGTCATTATTTTGAGAGTCCCATGCTTCACTCAGCATTGATACTTAAGATAGTATTGCAACTCATTTTATTGGTTAGATCTCTGTGGATCCATTTTTGATTTCCTGATTTTCTTTCATTAATTTTTTTATCTCTTCTGACCGCACTTAATGAAATCTCATATATCGTTCTTACCCATAAAACTTTTTCCTTCTGTTTCCTATATTTAGCATTGAAAATCCGCGATTTCTCATTAATCTTCTCAATCCTTTCATTTCTGGTCTTTTGCCGTGCTATTTTGCTTTCCCTAATTTTGCCACATAACCCAGTGCCATTCGCTTTTTTCCAGATAATGGATGCACCTCCTCCAGAAACGTTGGTATTACTTTCACAAATATGTGCAGCTGTTATGGTGACATTATGTTTATTTGGTGTGGTGGGAAATTCGCTATCACTTTATATCTATACAAGACCAGCTTTTCGGAAACGGTAATTTTTTTATTTCAAACTGTTTTACTTGAAAATAATACCAGAAACCAGAATAATGTGTGTCAAGCCATGCTAAAAGGGCAAGAATTTATGGTTTCATAAGATAGATATTGCTTCTTCACTAGTTTGGATATTATTAGTTGCATTATTTGCGCTTAATATTTTTTCTTTTCTCAATCGGTTTGAAAAATACTATTTTATTCTTTTTTTCTTTTACCCACTTATATATGGATTACTATGAAGTGCTTATGTCTAAGCCGATTATTGATTATATTGATTGACGAGTTATTTCAGATCAATTAATATCCTCCTATCAGCTCTGTCAGCATCTGATCTCTTTGTATGTATATTATCAATACCAGTATTTAGTAGCAATCATCTACAGTACTTTCTACCAGGTAAATCCCGCACTTTCTTAATTTTACCGTACTCAATCCATGCACAACAAAATCAATAATCGATCGATTTAGTGTCGGAAAAATCGATAGCAATGATCATGTTCTATGCATATCCAATCACAGTAATGTTTCAATCAATGAGCGTCTGGCTGCTCGTATCGATCACGATCGATCGATATCTGGCAGTTTGCCATCCGTTTCAAGTGATGAGCTATTGTACAAGGTAAGTCCCACTATTACCACTTATAAATTCGTTAATCCCAATGTTGCTGAGGTTTGGCACTTTTGCACCGCTACAGTATGATACCGTAAGCTTGCATGAAGAATAGTCCAGCATGTGATAGCATTGAGCGCGTGATATCAACGATTACTCCCTTCGAAAATTGCATCTGCACGTGTAACTTGCCCCTTTGCGTTACGGTAGGAGTACTGTACACGTGCAAAAAGGCCTAAAGCCAAAAAAACGCTGCAGCGAGGCTTTTGCTATGGCTTCTTTTTTCTTCGTCTTAATGACTATGTTTTGCATGTCATCGGCTTCTTCATGACTAATCTCCGTGTTTATTTACAACACTTGCATAATAGGCTTTGCCTACATCTGCGTCTCAGACTGTGCATCAATGTAATTAGTTGTTTCCACCATGTAGCGCTTGAGAACGCATGATAAAAATCTCTAGCAAGAATATTGTGCAGATCTTTGGGACTGTGGGAAAATAACAATTTGATATTACTCAAGACTCAAAGATTGTGGCAGACTTGGAACGAAAAGCAAAAGCTCACCTTTTCCCACCAATTGTTAAAGGGGTGGTAAGACCATACCATATCAAGTTTATGGACATTTGGAGAAAACGCAAGTCTTGTTGTGTAGATCATGGGTACATAACTTGAGTATAGTCTTCGTTTTCAGTGACTTTCATGTTAGAAAAGCGAGATTATTTCCTTTACCAACTTCCATGAAAACTCGTGTATTTTTCGAGTTCGTTGTAAGTTTTGTGATAAAAATTGGAATTAATATAATCATCGCCCTCTATGAAAAAACTGCAGTATTTTCCGAATTTGCTGATGACTTTTATGAGAAAAAAATGGGTTTATTTCCTAGTTCACCTACTTTTATATCCTAAATTCCTAAATTCCACGATGTGTCTACTATAGGAAAAAACCCAATTAGCTTGATGTTAGACAAGAACAATTACTTCATCCGATAAAAATTGGTCAAACCCCCAATAGTAATTAAAAAATAAATCCTAATTGGAAGAATTCTCGCTAGTTTTATAGAAAAAACTATTCATATTTTCTCCAAAAACTTGCGAGGTTAGAAGGATTGCCATAGTTTCGTATGGAATCATTCGCTTTTTATTGCAAGTCCTAATTCCACGATGTGCCTAATTAGAGCAATTCCAACTGAGCTCCTAATTTGGGTGAAAAGACGGGCTCCGATGTATTAATCTTGAAGAAACCGTCGGTAATCCATAATTTTGTTTGAAATGATTTTTTCGTGATTGTATTATATTATGTGGAAAGGAGATTTTATAAGGATTCGAAAAACCACCGAAAATTCCAAAATTTGGTTTTATAGAAAGGGTTCTCCTTGAATTGCCCCAATGGACTGTCGTCGCAATTGAAACCCTTCAAATCAAAGTAAATCCGAAACACTTGATGATTTTTCGAATCCTTGTAAGATTTCCTTTCCAAACATCAAAATCCGATCGCGACAAAAATTTCTTGAACAAAGTTATGGATTCCCGACGGTTTCTTCAAGATTGTTACGTCGGAGGCCGTCTTCTCCATCCGAATTATGGGCTCAATTGTATCTCAAAAGATAAACCTTGAGGCCTACTCCCTCCCCCCCCCCCCGCCCTTTCCAACTCTAACTATTTTAGATTTTATTGGCTTATCGGTTTATTATGTTGAACTCATAGTTACATGTTGCCATTTCAGATCTCGTGCTCTACTCACAGTGCTTTTGATAGTGATATTCTCCGTGGCGTATAATTTCGTTCGATTTTGGGAGTTCCAGATCATCGAGTCCAATTCAGATGGTACTTATTTACATAAATTTTTATGTGATTCAACTAACAATCAATCAATAATGTCTAAGTTTTGTTCATAAATCTTTTTTAGAATCGCTCGAATCAATCGTCCAACCACTACTACGGGACAGCCCATCTTTTCTCCTTTGGTATCAAAACATTGCCACGTTATTGTCACAATTTGTGCTACCTCTCCTCGTCCTTTGTATTCTGAATTTACAGGTAAGCAATTCAAAGCTTGATTAATTTCATTACTGGTTCTGAAAAAGTCACTAAGATTCTTTGAACGCTGGGAGGAAAATAAGTTGAAGGAAATAAAAAAACTTACGGTCTTCTATGAATCTCTTCCATAGTTTACCGAACACTTACTTTTCTTGGAGAAAATCTCTGCCCCCCCCCCCCACGCCCTTCCTCTTCTCATTATTTTGTCTTATGCAGTATATTCTCTGTTGAATCAGTTTATCAAAAATCTAGAACTAGCGATTATTTGAGATTTCACGATGGTTTTCACTATTTTTTGTGCAATTTTCATAAAATTCAAGCGTTTTTTCTAGTTTTTTTTCCTTCTTCCTAAATAATTCTAGAAATTTGCAGGTGGCACGAACAATACTCATGGCTACCGAACAAAGACGAGAACTGGTCGCCTCCGTTAAACGGGAGCATAACACTGCCAAAATGATGATTTTCGTTGTTATTGGTAGGTTCTTCCTCTACTTTCACACAGCACACATATATGCCGTCATTTTCAGTGTTTCTTGTGTGTTACACATTCTCCTTCATTCTCAATGTTGCCGAAATTCTATTCTCATCGCTGTTTCGACATCCAGTAGGCTATTTGTTGAACGATATAAACAACATACTGATTGTGGTCAACACATCATCGCCTTTTGTCTTCTACGTGAAATATTCGACGAGGTGAGCCACAGACTATAAACTATGCCTCGATCATTTTAATCAATTATTGATTTTCCAGGTACCGTAACCACCTGCGCACACTGTACGGTATACGGTGGTTTGCAGCAAAAATGAAGTTTCAACAAAGTAAACGACGGAGTGCGGAACGATTGATGAATGGCACAGATACAAAGACTTTTGCTAGCTACACTAGCATAGGTAATATTTAACTGAATATTGAACTCTTATTTATTGATTTTTGTAGACTTAAGGGTTTTATGTCACTATTCAGGGAATGGATTCATGACCAAACTGAAAATTGATAAGGACAAACCGCTGCGACCACAAAGATCACCGTTGTAGCAAAGAAGCCTCGAATTCTTTCCGTTTTTGCCGTCTTCTTAGTGCTTGACGAGCCTTATATTGAGCTAATGCCTAGTTTGACATTGTTTTATCGATGTATTTTACGGGTTTGTATATCTGCGGGATTGCCACTAATCTCCATTTTGTTTTTCTTGTCGTCATTCTTGCATTACCTTGCGCCAAGGAATGTGATAAAGATTTCTATAACTTTGTGTGTTTGTGATAGCCTACTGGAACAGATCATTGGGTGTGATTCGGCGGTCGTAAGTTCAAAGCAGACTTTCGGTCCAGTAGCGTAGTAAAGGCAGTGTCCAGGCAAATCTGAGCATTTTTTGCTTGGAAATTGATGAGAAGGTTCTAGCTAAGGCACTGCCCAAACCGCAGCGCAAATTGTTTATACAAGGCTGAGAAATCTGCCCCAAACAGTGCGCGGCTGCGCGTGACCGTAACACTTAAGATGGGTCCCAGCGCGAACGTAGTGTTGAAGTGAGCAAAGTCGTTTTCGGTTACGGTCACGGCACACTCGGAGTTTTCGGGGATGGATTTCTCAGCCGTGAATGAACAATTTGCTCTGCCCCTTGGGTGCCTTAGTTGGGACCCCCTCATCAATTTCCAGGCAAAAAACCCGATTTGCCTGGACACTGCCTTTAACACGTTTCGGACCGCGAAATCGCGCGCGGCGAAAAAGAGGGTACTTTCAGCCGTTAGCCAACAAAGGGACCTTAATTCGTAGATTGTGTGCTACATCAGTAATCAGCATGTCAGATAAGATCCATACCCAGAGTTCTGAGTGAATTCGAAGTGTTTGAATTTTGTCGTCTTAGAAGGAGTTCTGTGCTTTCTTAAAAGATAGGAACAAGGGCCCAGTTTCAAATAGTATTTAAAATTAACTATGTTGTACACAGTACACATCATTATCGAAACTACTTTTTTCTCTTTGAAATCGGAGCAAAGAAAAGCTGCGGCGAAGCAAGCGTCGTTCGCGTTGCTGCACTTTGTTGCAACTGTTGTTCAATTTGTCCTCATATCTCCTGAACAAATATCGATGGCACAGCTCTACAGACCCTTTCGAGAAGTAGGAGCTTAGGCCTTTGACTTGATAACCTTGGACAAAAAGAAAACCTCCTGTAAACGTTGAAAAGATCCTTCAAAGGTGCGTGCTGCACCATGTGCAGCACCGGTCCGAAACGTGTTAAGAAGCCAATAGGTTGGAAAGGGTACGGTAGAATGTAAGTCGAATCTCTTGCCAGAATAAAACATATGAGCTTGTACTTGGAAGTGGAATTCGCCCGTGGTGCCAGTCTTTACGCACAGTGCGCATTTACTTTATAAGCAAACGCGCTTACACCCATAAATTACCGAAACAGGACTCAGCGGAAGTAGCGCTTTCACACGCTAGATGTCGTTTTTCGAGGGGAAAGCAATGGGGAACTTGTGGTTTTCACTCCGAAACCTGGGCACAACTCTAACTCTTAACAAGTCCGAACTTGAAGGTCTGACGTAATTTTACCAGTTATAGGTAAATTGACACGTACAAACACGGCTAGCGCATAGACCTGTTTGCACACGATTTCATGTGTCAACATACAATCTTTATGCACTAAAATAAAAACAATTTGTTTGTTTCAATGAATAAGCAACATTGAACCACCAAATTTTTTGTGTGTACATCCACGGCGATGATCGAAAGAAATGTATGAGAAATTATGAAAACATTATGTGAAGAATAGGATTTTTAAGTGTTTTTCGATTTTAGGTTGTCCCGCGCAACTTGGAAGCACCCTGAGGTTGCGCGAGATCACACAAAGTCAGAATAAATTCTCCCCCTTCCTCACACAAATCCAAATTTTTTTACATACATCTATTCTTCAGATCAAAATCTGCTTACCTATTAGTGCTCATCTTAACCCAATTTCGCCCCCTATGCTTTGTTACGGTTCTTGATGAGATATAAACAGGGCTCGGCACAGGTGGCTTGTAAGCAAGCTGGGTATCGTTTTTGGGGCAAAAAGCAAAGGGGGTTTCGTTTTTGTGACCGAAGAGACACGCAAAATTGGCGATTTGGCGACGTTTTTTTAGTCGACGTTTCGTTTTTTGGGGGATTCTGGGGAAATTTGGATGAGGGTCGAAGGGGACTTCGTAAAAATTCCCAAAAGTCAAGGGGGACTTCGTTTTTTCCATTTTCATCTAGCCACCTCGCGCCGAGTCCTGGTTATAAATAGCCTTGAATTTCGCTTATTTATCTTTGACTTGATCTTGCCTTTTCTTCACTTTGATTTTTGTTCGTTGCAGATTATTGGAAGAGCTTCTACAAACGCTACAGAAGGGATCACGTAATTTTCTGCAATGTCAAGGGGGACTTCGTTTCCGAAATTCTCTCATATCACCTCGTGCGGGGCCCTGTGCCGCCGTAGTGTAACGTAGTGTACTTACCTATAGTCGTTAAAATTGCATTATTGTTTGAGCCTAAATACATACAAAGCTTAATGACCATTTTCATAATAATGAGAACTACAAGTAATCACAGTGCAGTCATTGCGATCGTGCAAGGTTTTAACGGTGGTTTTATTGTTGAGTGGTGACATATGAATTTTTGAATTTCCGGTAGATCTATGGAGTTAGGAAAGAGTGTAACTGGGTAACTCATCCTCAATAATAAGGCTTGTAATCCATCTAAGTGAATGTTCAATGACTATTCCAGTGTCAAACCTTGATAAATGAATCATTTAAGATATTTCGCTAATTTTCTTACTCAGCTATGCTTGTGTGGTAGAACGAGATATTCTTAAGAAACATAATTGTATGCACTGCAATTGTGATATTGAGCACAAATCCTGCACTGGAGGTGTGGCACTTCATTTCTGTTTTTTCAGTGCAAGTGCAGGCCAAAAAAAGTGAGTGAAACGCATAAATTTACCTAAGGGCCGCATGCACTAACCTCCCCGCTGGGGAGAGGATCGCAGCTCAAAAAAAGCTTTATATTTCAAAACTCCAGTTACCTGGATTTCACGCTGTGTACCTATCCGTAAGTATTCCTGCTACCCTTCACTACGAACATGTTGAACAGAAGCGAGAAGCTGTACAAACCGCATTTTCCAGCTTTTGTATGATCCCTGATGATCCCCGGCGCTTTTCTTTAAAGTCATTTTTCTTTCTCCGAAGCTAACGAAAAACCTCCAAAGTTGTGCAGATTGTCTAACCCACAGTGCTAAGCATGTTGCTGATAAGAACAAATGATGTTTTAAAGTCATGAAATTTTTGATGATCCACAGGTCGAAATTTGAGGTTTACCGAAAAAATCGATTTTTCAAAAATTCATTTGTTTTCATCAGCAACATGCTTAGCACTGTTGTGTTAGATTTTTAGTACAACTTTGGAAGGTGTTCGTTAATTTCGAAGAAAGAAGAATGACTTTGAAGAATAGATGTTCGTCCCCCAGGGATCATCAGGGGATCCTACAAAAAGCTGGGAAATGCGGCTTGTACAGCTTCTCGCTTCTGCTCAATATTTTCATAGTGAAGGATGGTGGGAGTACTCACGGATAGGCAGACAGCGTGAAATCCAGATATCCGGAGCTTCAGGATATGAAGCTTTCTTCTGAAGCTGCGATCCCCTCCCCGCGGGGATATTAGTGCATGCGGCCCTAAATCTTCATCTACATTATAGTGACTTGAAGCACAGCAGATTGTCTAATTAAAAAAACATCTTTTTGCAGTAGTAAGCTATTTTCGATAACGTGCTTGAATAGGGCATGCTACAATTCTTTTTCAAATATTGTACAAAGCATTTGTAGCTAGTGAATTTGAAAAAGCACTTGTAGCTAGTGAATTTCCAAACTGAGGATGCTTTGCTGCAATGCCCCTTCTATGTAAGCTAGTAGAAACATTTTATTTCAACCTTCAACTGAGAAAAACTCCATTGAGTTCTGTCACGAATAAGTCGGCTCGGAAGTTGTTATCGTTGCTATGCTGGAAATGTTCATCAGACATATTTTTTATCATTCAAAATCTAAGCCGAGTCAACTCAAAAATGGCTCGTTTCTGTCTTTTTGTAAGACCTACATGGTTTCTTTTTTGGATAACTATTATTTTCGAAAATGAAAATAAAACGAAACCCGAGAAAAAGACTTGCACAGAAATTTTGAGACAAATTTTATTTACGCACTTTTTCTCTCAAGCGCTCATAAATGAAACTTCGCTCATATAATATTTTTCCGTCCAGTGACCCGCGCTTGAGTGGCTCAGATCTCTAGCTAGAAGTTCATCAAAATCCTCCGATCGGGTTTTATTAGCTAATAAGTGGACATCGTAGCGTGTAATCAACTTGCATTCACAAGCCTCGGGGCCATATTCGGCTGGTCTGTGCTAGCCAATGTGTGTTTAATCCTCTGCACTGCTGCCAAACGCAGACGCCCCTTGCTTGTCCTGTTTTGGATTTTGATACCGTTTGCCTAGGAAAAATATTAGGGAATGTCTTCTACAATGAGCAACGGATTTGCACCTGAAATCAGCGAAAATAGCGGCGTAGACACCTTCATAGACGCTTCGAATGGATTCATTAGTTCTGCGGTAAGTTGTCAAACTATTCATTTTCATATATGTATGGTACACATACTAAAATTGAATTTACATTCTAAACTCTAGAGCAAAATGCAAAAAGTCTTAAAATAATTTGTGAACATGTTGCTTTTACTGTGATTATTCTAGTGTACCGAGTGCAAGATAAGGGCAAAATAACTCAAGTTGGAAAATAAATTTCTACTGTCTAGAACTTCAGTTTGAACAAAATTTGCATCATTTATACACTCAAATGAACAGCAGAATTTTTTTCAGCTCGATTCTCCTGCTCAAGACAGCTCCACCGCTGGTACATTCCTCTTCTATCCTGACATTGATGAATTTGACGAAACTGATGAGGACAATGAGCTCAAGCCGCCTCCAGTATCGGTATGTTACGGGACGTCAAAATTTTTTAAATGAAGACGAATCGTTGATGAGCTTTCGGAGGTAAATGGTAACATTAGATATCAATAATAAGTGAGATCTCACAGATTCGGATGAAGGATTGTGTAAAAAGTAGGATTTTACTTTCTCGGATTAGTCTTCTTTGATTTACAACATGCGAACATCGTTTCTATGAGAAGAAGAATTTTAGTTTCCTTTCCCAACGGAAGGTTCAAATCGCTCGACTTTCTGTGTGAAAATATAAGGTCATAGAAAGGGGCCTTAGGTCATTTCAAAAGTTCGTTCGCCAGTTTTTCAAAAAATCATAACTTCTTTCCTTCTTGGTAGAATTTCTCGATTTAATAATTGTTTGAAAGAGGAAACCTTTCTCTTTACAATAGTGTCTTTGCCGTGAAATGGCGTGAGAAAATTCGAGAGTTAGAAGCAATTGAATAAATTTACTCAATATCGACATTTTTCAAGCCGGATCACGAAAAATTCTGGAAGTATTTCTATTTGATAGAGAAAATTTTGCACATTACAGTGGTACTTTTCCCACGAATTAGAACGAAAAAGATTGAAAGTTATAAGCAAATAGAGGATATTACTTCAGTTTTGCAATTTTTGAGCATGCCCAAAAAGCCCCAAAAACGTACAAAAAAGGCGGAATAGCCAAAAAACAGGGGTTTTGTGACCTTCTCTTTCTAGCTAAGGGATTTTTGTGCTAAGGGAGAGCAATTTTGATCTTCATGGAAACGTATAGGAAATTCCTAGAAAATCATTACTTTTCATAAGAACAGTCGTTCAACAAGGAGTTTGCCTAGCTAGAAAGATGAGAATATAAAACATATGTTTGTGTTTGTTTCAGTATTTTTTGTAACGTTTCAAAATTTTTGATGAGCTTTTTTGAAATTATCAAATTTGAGTGGCCTTCTCTTTGCATTTTTAACTCTTTGACTTGTGCTTGGTAGAACGAATTTAAGCCATTATCAGAAAATACATGATCTCTACATTCTAGAAAAAATTATCCCAGGCAAATCCAGGCAAATAGCAGAGAGTTACGATTTTTTGAAGAACAATGCGAACGAACTTTTGAAATGACCTAATAGTTTGATTTGTCCTAGTTTTCTCAGAATCATCACTTTGTAGCATCGAAATTTTACACTATCAACTATACGAGCATTCCTTTAGAAGTAGTACTAACCAGTTAGAATAGACACGATTCGTAATTTGCATAATCAAAAATGCTATGATCATGAGAGTCTTTTAGTTAATCTCTTATACCAATTCATAGCACTTACAGTTACAATCCTGGCTCAAAGAGAACAATTTTACCTATCGCAGCACACAGTCTCTAATAGTTTACGTTTGGGCAGAAACCTATGGTATCTTTCACTGCTGATTATAGGTTACAAATTTTTATATTATAAAAAAGCTCGCTACTTCCTTATATCTGAGATCAAGTGTTATAAACTGTGCAAACTCAGCTACATCTTGCCGACAAGACAGTTTTTTCAGATGCTAAAAAAGCTCCAAATTCTAACACTCTGTACTTTCCTTGCAGCCCCAAACTCCAAGCAAGTTCCCTTTGCTATTGACACACTTCCTTTTCCAGTGTGTTTTTTCCCTTATGCGCAAAGTGCATGCGTTGATTTGAGCATCTGCAAAGCGAGCAGTTCCTCGCATAGATCCAAACTTAGACAGCCACCAGAGCGAAAACTCGATTATCGGCTAGTAATCGCGGAATCTAAGTAGTAGTAATGCGATTCGTACTCTACTCATCTCGAAGTGTACTCGTAAAGGAGAGCGGGTTCACTATGAATGAGAGGGGAAGGGGGAGATGAAGCGAATTGGTGGATTTTCGTGTAAAGTCTGAGAGGACTTAGGGACGACTAATACAGAAGAGTTATAACTGACTTTAGAAAGGTCTGTGTTGAATTTGTAACTCACGACACAAATGGCCCGCCTAAAACAGCTGAATCATAAAGCAGACTAAAATAAAAATAAACCTCAATCTTGTTGATAAAAAAGGCAATTTCAATAGGATAACAATAATATTAATATTCGGTAGGCGCACAGAATCGTAAATCTGCACTTGAGTAATTGGATTTTTGCAAATTCACTCTAAGGTCACAGAAATGATGAATTGTTCATTTGATCGTTTGCTCAGTTACATCTTTTACTGCGTTTTAGCAATACTGGCGTAAAGATGAGTTTGAAGAATTTGCTTCTAGATCAGCAGAAAGGGATAAATCCCAGTGTTCGACGCTGTAGGAGAGTATTTTGATCAAAATTATGCACGTTTTTCTTCTCAAAAATCTTATCCTGCAGTGAAGGATGCAAATGTGGTGTACCCTCAAATCTTGCATCAAGTTGAAAAAGAAGCTTTTGTAGCAGTTAAACGAGACGGTCTTGATGTGGCAAGGACAAGTGGGAGCTTAAGCAGAAAAGACTCAAATGAAATAATTAGAGATGGTCAGTTTTTCAATAAAAATCACATAATAGTGCAGATTTTGCGCTAGTTTGATTAAAGGCTAGCGCTCTACACTTTTTGAGAGACTCGGATACTATTTTTTTTCAATTTTGAAATATGCCACCACTTCGGTGACAAAGCTTCTGAATAACATACAGCATGGCAAACCATGCTGCAAGTCAGGACCACTAGGTGAATTACCAAATGGTCCCGAATCGTTTTTGGTGACCAATAAACGCACCTATTGAAAGTAAACGAAGTTTCTGAGGCACTAATGAATTAAAATTTCATTTATGAGCTTTCAAAAGCACATTTTATAGCTTTGAGAGGGCAAGTCATGGTCTCGTGGAGTCGAAGCAAACGGCGATATTCTTCTAGGCATATAAGATTCGGGCTTTGGTTTCACTATAATGGCTCATTTATTATTCCAATGCATCAATTTTTGCCGAAGTCATCAAGTCGCCTTCTGTATAGCACTGAAAAGAATGAGCTGGATTTCCTACGCTAAAATCTTCCTTGACTCAGTTTGGAAAGATATGTTTAGGAATTCAACTATAGTCGCAGCCATTGCGTGATGCGTTCAGTATGTGCTCCCATACCAAGACTTACGAAAAGGTCGAAAAGATTTAAAATAGCCTCGATTCTCTGCTTTCCTTAATTTTCAACTCTGGGCAATTCGGCAGAAAAAACTCACTTGACAGTGTTTTTTTTTTAGACAAAGTTGCTAGTGTGCGAAGAAAGGCTGCAGTCTAGCTGCCAACCTATAGCTAACCTGCACTCTACTCTTTTTCCCATTTTCTCAGCTTTAGGCTTGAGCCTCCTTTTCGCTTCAATAAATTGGTTTACACTTCTCCTCTGACAACGTAACTCTACTGAATCTATCCAAATTTTGATCGACATCGATCATCATCCATATTTGATCATCATGGATTTCCTGGAGGGATGCCCTATTTCAACTCACTAACATAAAAAATCTTTTGTTTTGTTGTGACAGTATTATCATGGTGTTCGTATGCTGCAACTTCCCAATGACTTTCCAAGTAGGCACTACAGAAACTTTCACCCTTCTGCGACAAGTCAAGAAATTCCGTGGCAGTTTTCTTTTCGGAGTGATTGGGCTAAAAGCAGCAGGCGTTTTTATAGCATTTCTACCGTTTTTGTCCCATTCTTGCAAGCAGTATGGAGTTGACGAGCTAAAACAAAAGATTTTCACTTCCAACTCAAGCCCAGCCTCAGCGAGCGAAATGCTTGAAAAAAATATGTGCTCCCTGGGCAACTCAAGATTTCAAAATGCAAGTTCAAAAGCACTAATTGAGCTTTCCTGCTGGTTTCATGTATTTTATTATTAATGCACGTCTGTCGCCATTGTCGCTAAGTGAACTTTCGCTAGTTATTAATCTATAATAGTTCTTCTGCAATTCTATTTCCTTCCTTTTCAAAGAGATTTGGAAATGGTGAAATGATGGATGCTAGTCTTTCACATGGTGTAAATTTTTGAGGAGCATATATAAATTTTTGGAAAAATCAGTGATACTTTGATTGTGAACGGAGTATTATTTGTTGAAGAAACAAGCTTTTTAAACTTATTTAAAATAAATGCAACTCATTTGAAAACTATAAGACTCTATTCAATTTTTATGGTAAAAAAACTTTTAAACTCGTTATTCTTGTTTTTAGTGCAATAATTGAAAATACTACAGTATCAAAATTTACAAGGTGTACAAATTTCGCTTGCATCTATCTCTATGTAAAAGATTTGCTTATAAACTAGAACATCAAATTACACAACTCCATCTAAAATCATGAATTCTGGAAGGCTAAAAATTATTCTATCCAAAAAATAAGAACAATTTGGTGGAGAAAGAATACTACAATAGTATTGGATATTTCCAAGAACAAAATTAGTTCTGGAAGATTCGAGTATTTCCCGTTTCAGCAACAATTTTTCTCACAAGCTACGGGTCCACGTGAGTAGGCAGTCTCCACAGAAGTGCATGGGATGTTTCGGTAGTATGGTAAAAGTTCTGACGTGTCAAGAATCAGTCGATAACATCAAGGTTTTCAACCTTAACACGTTGACGACCGAGCCATTTTTGACCACCTTTAAATGGACTGATGATCTACGGTTGCGGTTTGGACTGTTTAACAGCTACCGCAATGCCGTGTGTTCTATATGACAACCAGGCCACCAGTGTTATTACTGCATAGAAGTTACCTGAGAAATTTTCGTTTACACATGATAAATTGATGCACGAAAGTGCTACAAGGTGGTTAGGGCGTGCATACGCGCGGATACACACGGTCGTCAACGTGTTAAAGGCCGGGCATACTTCACGCGATTTTAGTCGCGACGCGATTTGGCAATTTGCCAGAAGTCTCCAGATCCAATACTAGCGAACTGCACATGCATAGTGTGTACAACTTGCGTGGATTGATAAAATGCCCTATCTTCCGTTCATTCAGAAACCCTTACAGTAAGTTATGGACAGTTGGAATGTTGCCAAGTCGCGTCGCGACTGAAGTCGCGTGAAGTATGCCGGTCCTTTAGAAATCGCTGCTCAACAAGAGAGAATCTCCAAAGCAATTGAAAGCTCTTCAAGAGCTCTTTTTATCGATGTTCAAATAGTTTACAATGCATGGACTAAATGTCGAAAAGACCTGTCATTGGTGACAAGGGGAAGATCTAAACAAAATCGTACAGTGAGACCTGGCCAACAAAATAACATCATAGAAAAAGCTCAAAGGGCTTTGAGTAATCTGCAAGCTTTTTTTGAAATCCCGTACACAACTTTTGCAATTTTAAAACTCAGCTTTTGATGTGAAGGCAAAGTTTCTAATAGTATCTAATTCCATAGGGCACTGTTCACGCCTTGCATAACACTGATCATTTGAAAGAGCTCTTAGAGAGCCAGAACATCACACAGCAATTCCTAGCTCTTTGACTGTGGATATTAAACTTCCAAGTCCAAAATCTTTGATAACCGAACTCAATCGGTAAAAAAAACTTTTGTGTCATTCACTCTCACCTCCGAGTTACTATTCTGCAGCTATTTGTAACTTTGCGCAATGCACAACATGCGCGCTACTTGACAAATTCGTGAGGTTGAAAACCTTCCCATTTTCAACTTCTCCTTCTTTTCTTGCCTTTTCTGGTTTGATGATTGGATATGTGTTGTTTAATAGTACACGATTTTACAGTTTATTAAGCTATAAAAAGTTGCACTGAGAAGTTACTTATAAAGGTGCCGTCGACCGCCGCGCATCATGTGCGGGCTCACATATTGAGTCCTGAATAATTCGACAATAAGCGAACTAGGAAGTTCCATGCTATGGAAATTTACCATTTGCTTGCTTGTGATGTTTTATTTATGAATTCGCCAGTAAACAGGAACACGGTAACTTGCATTTCCCTTAAAAAGTAGATCATGCTCCATTGTATCTTTGTTGAAAGCCAAGGCGTTTGTAGCTTTTCTTCAGTCTTGTCATTGATCTCAGTGTGATGGTTAGTTTAACGTCCCACCTTCCTAGTTGTACCTCATAAAATTAATTTTTCTCATAAAATGGAGCATGACCTACTTTATAAGGAATACGCAAGATATCATGTTTCTGCTTACTGACGAATACATAAATGAGCACATACATCACATCTATACTTGGATTTTTCTTTTCTCAGCTGTTGGATCCAGAAATTCATCAGTTTGTCAGGCTCACTCATCTGTTGTTTTATTTTACTAGCCGAATACTGAATGGGTGTGGCGCGAATGCGCAATTACGGACGCAGTCACTGATGAAAAGTCAGCTGGCGTCTATACCTCTTTGGAACGCAAATGGCTGATTAGAGTAACATCCTAGCTAGAGTAATATCCAGCTGTTCCACTGCCGGAAAAAAAGAAGATCCGCTTTGCACCCATGGTGTGTCAAAGCTTGATCTTCGTTGCAATAGCGACTATCTTGAGGTAAACTCATTGCAAAAGTTTTCTCTTGATCTAGAATCAGAAATCATCTCAATTTTTGTCAGCAGTTCAGAGCTGCTTTTGGTACAAGTAGATAGCAGCATGCGCGTTTTTATTTGGACAAATGTTGACTGCTCCGTAAAGAATGTTGACTGCCCCGTGAAAGACCTTGGTCCAAGAAGGTAGGTAATTAAAAATACTTGCAATAGAAGACGTTTCTCGCGGTGTTCATATTCACGGACTTTGCATTCTTTTTGATGCTTGGACACAAACGAAAAATGATTGTTGTGAAGCTCGTCTACATTCAAAAGAAAAGGCAACTTAACTTCGAATATTCATGGGTAAACTCATTACGTTACCACTTTGAAACATTAGAGTGAATCAAACTTCGTGAAAATAAAAGCAGAAATTTTTCCAAATCACAAAGCTGATGAAAGTCCTCTTTTGTAAAACGGAAGCTAAAAAAAATTATAAGCTTTTATAGTCTTACTCGTAATCAAAAATTTTTGGAAAGGCGCAGAATTGTGCAATGGTAGACATCAGTGGCGATCCGAGGTGGGGGCATCCCCCCCCTCCCTCCCCCCTCCCCCGAACACGGGTCGCAAAATTTTTGAAATTTACTTACAGGGGTTTTAAAAATGTGCAAACGCCTTCTTTGTTCTTGTGAATAATCAAAATAATTCTTAGAATTAAACCTTGCAAAAAAAATTTTTTCGGAAGCGTGGCTGTCGCCACGCCCCCTTTTTCTAGGTTTCAGGGGTTGTCCTGCATGCGTGGCTAACGCCATGCACCTTGTTTGGAAAAAAATTTTGCCCCCCCATCCCCCTGAACGGAAATCCTGGGACCCATTGGCAGACATTGATGACTATCTCCGCAGTTCCCGTATTTATCGCTCACCGGCACTGCTTGTGAACCCAATGAATTATAATTCTTGCCCTAATCAAGATGTAACATTGATTGATAAACCTGAGACTTGTTGCTGTTAAGATTTCAAAGCGTGTGTGTGTGGCAACGACTGAGAATCGGCTTTTCTCCAGGGAACTCAAATTCGATGTAGCGAAAGTACTGGCATCATATATAGCCAAGCGCACCGCTCGCGTCATTTTCGGCTCGTGTTCAGCTGTCAATTTGGCAGGATTTCCTTCGTTTTCGCCAAAATTTTGATGTCAGATCTTGCAACCAATTCAGCACCTAGATGTTAGGGATATTTGTAAAATGTTGGATAAAGCTATCTTTTCCCAAAATCTACATACTTGCTCAATAATGCAAGCAACTCCTGTCATTTTTTCGTCTGTATACAATGCTATTTTGCTACCAAACAATACGTTCGTAAAAATCAAACATTTTGAGGAAAGGAAAATTAACCACTAACTCTTTCTCTAGTTCGCTATTCATTGACATTCGTCTCAAAATTGTCCTCTTTTCTTCTCGGCATTGAAACATATGCCGGGGTCAAGTGTGTTGTGTTCGCGAGCAATTTGGCAGCTTACTGCTTAGTATCCATTGCGACAGCTTGTCTTGAGATTTAGCGCCTTATCCTTTTTGACATTGTCCCAACTGGGAGAAATTTGATTCTTAACAACCTGCTCGATGGAGAGTATCAACATATTTAGTTGAACCTCGTGTTGCTTTTCACTTGATCAAGTACTTCTCACTGAAGCACTTCGCATCATCATGCGATTTTGCAGACTTTGCTGATGGCCGCTTTGTTGCTGTAAATTTCTGCTTTTCTATAAGCGTAAAGAGGAAAAAGGAAGACGGTTATGATTATATCTGCTGATTGATTGCTATTGACATTTTCTTCAAACCAAGGATCCAAGAAACAGTGTTGAATTTGAGTTATATACACATAATAGAAATTCCTTGACCTTGTTCACAGTTCTAGTTCAGGGGATATTCAGTCTCTAATCCCTCGCATTGGGCACAAAAATGAGGAAGTTTTTCATCGTTTTTCTTTTCGTACTCATTGCATCTGGAGTGCGCTGTTGCGCGAAAGCTTCTCCGAACACCTGATGATCTTAGAATTTATTGAGTCCTCACAAAATCCTAACAAGAGGCGCGATTTTTATTGCCTGATGGACAGCATATAGCATATTCAGTGTTTCATAAAGTTCTAGAATAACTTGAAATCTTGAAGGAAATATATTATATAATTGCATGAATTGTTCGATCTTATCATCTTGAAATCGATTCCAAACAGAATTGTTGAAGGTCAAAAACCCATGAAAATACAAGTAGTAACGTTTTGTGAACTTTCCTGTTAGTTTTTTTTAGCAAAAGTCGTCAAACTTATCAGATGGTCACTTCAAAAACAAAAAGATAAAAGTAAGCCAGTGGGCAATGTCCGGCACTTTCTGAACACTCCATAGCATGGAATCTGAGTTTTAAGTCGGTGATAGGTCGAAAAAATCGCGCCCCTTAACCGATTCCACATTTTCCACTAGACTGATGTTACTTGCAGTTCTAATTCTATTAATTTGATAGAAAACTCGTGTCAAAAGTCAAAGACAAAAATCGATTTTCTGGCAAAATCTTTTGCCAAATTGCAATCATCCCGCTTTTGGCCCCTTTTCATAGGTCTATCCAATAACATTTTCTGTATCTTGCTGTGAAGTTTGAAGATCTGAGCAAGGAGCAGTTTCCGACAGCGCTAATTACTCTCAAATTATCAATATAGTCCTCCTTCCTTTTTCAAAGGTTTTCTAAATTCTAGAAAAGAAAGTAGATGAGTTATGAAACCGTGCAAAACACCCTCTCCCTTGCGAGCAAAATATTTTTGCAATTTACAAAGGAATTTCACCAGGCTGGCATGAATGAAAAATGATATGTCTCCTAGCGCCAGCTTCCTCATTCGAAAAATATTTTTTGGTCTTTTTACACTTCAGAAAACTATATTTTTGCTTTATTTCCGGAGAGATATCGGCATATTATATTAGTGCTTTTATGCGTTTTCAAAGATAGTAATCTTGAGGAGTTTACTCATCCTTTATTCAATAAACAATGTTTCAGATGATGGACACTCGGCGGAGTCTGACTGGGCTGGCTCAGTTTATGCTGCCAGCCCTGATCGAGTCAGAGAACGTTACAGAAGCTCAACGTCCTGAATACAGACATCGTGCACTATTGGGAAGGGCTCATCAACAGATTCGGAAGGGTGCTGCCGGTTTTAGAGATGTGCGTTGGTTTTTAGAAGTTACTTGCAGGGCTCGGCAAGAGGTGGCTTTCCGAAAATGCGAAAAGAACGAAGTCCCCTTTGATTTAACGAATTTCCCTTTGACCCTAAACTTTGAACGTAAAAATCCTGAAGAAAACGAAATGTTGACTATAATAAAAAAACGTAATCTAAATTGTGTTTTTTGTGCCACAAAAACGATATCAAGTCAGTATCAGTCTTTAAGTCACCTTTGCCGAGCCCTGGTTGCTTATGTCTGCGAAAAATCATCGAGCCTGCTCAAATTTTAAATGTGATTGTAATCTGTGACAGCTTTTGGCCTGGCCCGCCAATTGCTATTTTTCATGGTATTATGTAGACGATTAATGTCTTGCAGTTTCTGCAACATTCATTCTCTATTAATGCAACAAATAGCAAACTGCTACCTAATTTTGCACTGAGCACTGCTCCACCCTTGTTTTGAGACATCATCGTGCCACTCATCGTTAATAGTATCTCGTGTTCGGCCATCCTTGATTGCGGCTGCCTTCGTTCCCTTCAAGCCCCATTGACTCACTGACCTCTTCTCACTACCTCTTCAATTACCACGATGATGTTCCAAGAATTATTCCAAGCTCCGCGATTATGGGTTTGTAGTATTTTGTCGCATTTTCATGTTCTCTTCTCCCAGCGTCCATCCACAAATTCGAAAATGCAAATAAAATAGCATAGGATGCTTAGAACTATGACTAGATCAAATTCAATCAATTTTCTAGCTTACATTGTTAATTTTCTCATTCAGATAGCCGAACGAGCACAAGAAGTGGGTCGAAGACAAGTTGAGCATTTCAAGAAGCAGCCACCATTATGTTTTATATTTATGAACAGAGCCTACCATCGATATGGATTGAAGGTTCGTTTACATTTCCACGCCTTGCATCTCGCTCTTAGGTTTCATAATTTGAGCTTGAGCACGTCTTTTCTGCTTTTTTATGATTCATCAATTGCAATTTTTGTATGCTTGTTATCCAAGTATTTTGATCTTTCCTTTGTTTTCGATTTTCGCTGGAGAACTTTTGTCATTATGAACGTTTACTGTAAAAACCTCTCCTTCTATATGTTTTCAAACAACTCCAAATCACGTTTCTCGCTTGGCACAATGAGCCAGTGTATTCGCACTGTCTCCGAATATATAAAAAAATATGAACATCTTAGCTTTTCTAGCTTATCGGTTTTACTTTTAGAAAAATTTTTGGAAATGAAAAAGAAGAGTATACTAGTCTTGTTTTTATTATTGTTAGCATCGTACTTGTGAGCAATATCTACAACTCGAGACGCCGTTTTTTTTTTACTTCACACATTTGCATTTCTCTCATCAACGAAGAAAAGCTGCCAATCGACCAACAAATAATCCGAAATTTTTTCTTATTTCTCAGGTCCTCATTTGATAGCATTTTTTCTAATTTTTATTGTTAGAAGAATTCGTACAAATGAAGAGTAATGGTCCGATCTACTATTTCTTCTCTAAGATACCAGACCCGGAGACAAAGCGTTCATTAGGATCACGGGTTTTCTGCTTCATATATTCATCATGTGTTTTTGTAAAGGAGGCTCTCAACTACAACAGAAAATACGATTTTTAGTCTTTGCGTTAAGCTGTGAACGAGCTTTTTACAGCACATCGTACTTATACTGGTATTTCTTGCCTACACAGCTTTCGGCGCTTTCATTTTTCTAGTCGCTGAGGGACCGTATCAAAATAGTCTGAAAGAGCGATGGAGTGAGGTTAGTTGGAGTTCTTCCCATTAGTTCGTTTCGTACCCTATTTTATCACTTCAAGCACTCTAAGTAATTTGCTTCCAGCGCATCGCTCAAAATCGCTCACGTCGGGTCCAAGAGCTTATGTCACGGGCTTTCAATAATTCAGAATATTTGGTGTACATTAAAGGAAACACATCTGAGCGGTTACAAAAGCTGTTCAATGAGTAAGTCGACCAGTACCCATGCGTGTATTTCCATTCCTACGCGTTGATATCCACATTTCGCCGAAACGCTTGCCGTTGTCGTTTGATTAATATACTCCCTTGGGAGGAGATAAATTTGGCTATGAGAAAAACCCTTCGAGTAATCTTTCTCGCTAAGGAGGGACCCTCAAAAAGAAAAAGGTTAGTAAATCAGAGTTTTAGCAGAAAAAGAGGGATGAACTCACATTCCCCTGGGCAGTTGGCACTGCATTTGATTGCAAAGCTCCAGCAATTTTCAAAAAGCTGTTTATTGCGGTGACAATTTTCGCTGCTTATGAAAAAATCAGAATTGAATCTATGGAAATTGATTTTGATTACTATGTTCATTATTCGACTTGGAAACAATGTTACACTTAGAGGGAAAGCAGAAAAACTTCAGTTGCTGTTTTGTTTGTATGCAAGTCCATGCGTTTTAAAGCAGTGAAAGAATTTTTTCTTGGCACTCTTCGTTTCAAATTTTGTTGTAGGTGCTTTTGAGGATTCGCACTCGCCTCACTCACTCAAAACTTCTCCATAAATTTTTCCTCAAGTTATGGATTGGATAGCCATCATTCTGAGAGCCCATTTCGCTAATTCTATTACGTTCGCCTCAATTCTAAATTCTAAAAACATTATTTTATGCAAGCTTTTACAAATTGATGTGGTCATTTCTGTACTTTCATATTCTCGATATTTCACTCACTCATGTGTTAGATTGACAAAGAATTTCGGTTAAACCTTTACATTTTTTGGTATTCTAACGAAAGTTTTGGAAAGTATTTCAAAACCCCGTAAAACCCATAAAAATAAAAATTGGTAATCTTTTGGAGTTTCTTGATTTTTTTTTAGAAGCTACAGGCACCAGAGTGCTACTAGGATGGGAAATAAATACATCTTAAAAATCACAGAGGGGAAAAAGACAGAAGGATGGGGGGGGGGGACTGCAGAAAAAAGAAATGTGAATGTGTTCACACAACAGTCGTAGACTTGCTGGCTATGTAATCCGTTTGGTAGATCCTGTCGATTTTGTCGATTATAAAACATTATGAGTTTTTCAAAAAGATTCCGGAAGCTTTTTTTAATAAGAAAGATGATGTAGCAGGAATTACCATCAAATTTGATATTTTATGTACTCCAGTAAATTCAAATTTATTTAGATTGTATAATAGTTTAGCCAGATGATTTACACAAAGCTAGAAACTCAAATTTCAGCGAGTTTGAGTCATATGAACACCAACTGGGAATTCGCTGGAGCGAACAACGAATGGAATGGGATTTTTGGACAGCTCTGCTTTTCGCTGGGACTGTTTGTACAACAATAGGTGAGGCTGAAGTTTCAACACCACAAAAAAAAGGATACGAAGAATATGCAGGATATGGTCATATTTACCCAGTAACAAATGCTGGCAAGATTCTCACTATGATATTTGCCTTATTCGGAATTCCATTAGTTCTTTTGGTTTTGCAAGATATCGGCAAGCTGTTGACTATCACTATGAAATTTCCATGGTTTCAAACAAAGCGCATTACGAGGAGGATACTTAGGTTTGGTAAATGATTGCACAGTTTGTAAATCTCTTGAGAAGTTCTTTTCAGGTGTTGTACGAAGCAATCGCTCCGAGAAATGCAAGAAATCGAAGCTTGTGAACGTAGGGACCTTGAGATTTTTGATTTACCTATTGTTGTTGGAGTATCCTTGATATTCGGCTGGGTAAGTGGGGATGCGGTGCAGGAGGAACCAAAGGCCTGCCGCCTGTTACCGCAGGAGGCAATTAGAAGCGCGAGCACTGTGGAGAAGATATTGGCAGCGATCCAGGAAAACTTGGCAAGGATATCAATTGCAAATAAACCTTTATGACTGTGCTTAGAAATGACTTTGAAAGATATGAACCCCAGGTTTGCAGTCAACATTAAAAGGCGGATTTTTCAGTATAGGCCTACCGTCTATATAAACAACTCTGCATCGCTATTTTAGCTCCATTTTGAGCAAAAAAGGATGAAATGGAAATCTCGAAACCAGCATTACAAACTGAGGCAGGTTTAATGATGCGTAAAAGTTTTTGCTGGAATTTGTGAATTTTTTTCAATAGGATTTCTAAGACTTTATTCGAAGTTCAGTAGCGAAAGCAGAAAATTAGGAGAAACAGTTAACTAAGTTGAATTGTGATAAACTTTTGCTTTGTATACAACCTCGTAGTACAGTGAAAGTAACATCGCCATGGTTTCGTTGTGCAGTCCTAAGAAATTTGACAAAATGCCAAAGAGAACTAAAATGAATCGAAATTATCAGCAAACTGCATATTACATTTTTACGTAAGCCTTCAGTGCTAGGTTTTCGTATGATATTTTGACTGCAGTTTGGTTGTTGACTTCGAACGAAAGCTGCTCCCAGTTCTGAGAAAAAAAAACAAATTTTGGAAAAATTTTGAGTTATCAAAAAGTGAAAATTTAAGTATTTATGATGACGAGTGAGTATAAAAAGCCAATAATTTTTTCCTCTAGTACAATATTAAATTTTGATTCACTGACACTCGAATGCGACTTGCAATGTTGATTCTAAATCTGTGTTTCATATCTTTCAAAGTTATTTCTAAGCACAGTTACAAGGGTTTGTTTGCAATTGATATCCTTGCCAAGTTTTCCTGGATCGCTGCCAAAATCTTCTCCACAGCGCCTGCGCTTCTAATTGTATCCTGCGGTAACAGGCGGCAGGCCTTTGGTTCCTCCTGCACCACCCCCGGAGTGAACCCGGATAATGCCATTGCTCGAAAACTTTAAGGATGTTCCAGGTACTGCTTTGTTCGATGGTGTTATCTGTTTGGGATCAAAAATGGTCTTTATTAGAATCGTTTTATTTCTTCTTCATATCTTTGAGGTAACTATTTCCTTATTGTTATTTTATTATCTTGACATATTCGAGAACTAAGCGGTGATCGGAGACGTCGAGATAACTATCTTGTGAGGAATCTTTTTCATGATTCTGATAGTAGTAATGTTAGTGAATTACAGTAGACTAGATCCACCCGCATGTTGGTTTAACATAAATTTTTGTACGACTTTATCCTGATTTCTTATTATCAAGTAGCAACCTTCAAGAATCCAGTGCAACCATCATCACGGTACAGTATGTTTCGACCCGGAATAGGCGAAACATTACGTGAAGCAGCGCGTCCGCACCACTGGAGGCTTTGCGAACGCACAGCGCTGGCATTTTGTCAAGCAAAGACTAACGAGAACGAAGGGACGCAGACATGGGTTCTTAGCACGATAGATGTACTGTAGCTGCGAAACAGCGCTAACCGTTGCGAGACAGACACTCGCCTCCAGTCCGCCTAAACTGGGTTAGAACTTGCTGTACTCTATGGACACTTCCTCTGCCTGTGTGATCTTGAAACTTTTGAGAATCAAACTACAAATGTGAATTATTGAGTACGAACATGAATCAAGTTAATGGGGTAAACTATTCGATAGAGCAAAGCAAGCTCTACAAGACAACTACCAGATTTTCCCAAGAATTGTGATCTACTGAAAGTTGGGAGCCGAGCTCAAAATTCAGTTACTCCCAAAGTCGGGTGGGTTTCCCCCAATTGTCATCAAAACAGCAGACAACCATCAAATAACAGATATATCATTAATTACATGGATGCAGTTGCTGGGTTCTTATTCTAGCTACAAAAACATAGGTTGAAAACTAAATTGCCGCCTTTCTGGTATTTGTGTTGACAGAGAGATTTTCTTTTGCTAAGGTGAACGATATGCACGATAATTAAGCGTGATTTTATCAAAGTTTTGCAGAATCCAACCATATATTTGAAACTAGCACGGGATTGTCTTCCAGTTCTCGGTGATTATTTTTTTCTCAATTTACAGCTGTGAACACAGCGAATGCATATAATGAATGTTTTGTTAGCGTGTATTACAAGCCGACCATGTAGGCGATTTATACGATCTTCCTGGCCTGAATTCAATTTTGAGGCATTCAATGTTTCTTAAGGTTTGGCCTCTGACTTCAAACTACGACCTACGCTGATATTTGTAATCATGCAAAGCGTAGCGGCTCCGCGATGCAGAGCAGTTCCTCGGAACAGGTGCCGGGGCGCTGTATGCCGCATTTGCCTGTCGCGCCTTATGTAGGCCGCTGCAGGACCACCTCCGGCTTGGAGCGCAGCCAAGAGAAGGGGTGTATATATAGCTGCGCGCGAAAGCAGCCCTCACATTTCGACCTTCGTTTTTATTATCGATTATCTTGTATCATACTTGGCTACGTTCCGGGCAGCTCCCGCAGTCGAGATTTTTTTTTGTTGAGCGGTGGAGCCTTTTGGATCTTGTGGATTGGACGCGCGTAAGCACGAGGAAACCTGGAAGTTGTAGATGAACCTTGTCGCGGCAGTGAAGCTGGTGTACTGAATGCACCGTTCCATGGGACTGGGTCTCTCGCGGCCTACTCTTAGAAGGAACCTTTTGGAATGGATTGAGTTTCCTGACATAGGCATCTTCGGATGCACCGCTCGTCCCGTGTCATTTCCTCCTTTTTCCCTTAAAGTGGGAGCTTAGTAGCTTAGTAATACTTTCTTGTTATTTGTTTCCTGTGTTCGTTTCTTAATGTACTCACTTGCACTACTCGTGTTTTCGTACCGGCTAGTCGTTATTATTGTGACCGCCTGAGCGGACACGACGTAGGGGCCAATCGGTGCCGGACGCGTGACGTCCTGGGATTGGGATTGGTTTGTGAGGGTAGCCGAGCAAAGCTAAGGAATGTTGAGCCCACCGAGCAGCAACACGGAGCACGCTTTGCTCCGAGTTGAGACGGCCAATTTTACACCTCCAATTATGACGCAAAACTTTCCCATTTTGAATTATACATATCGAGTGCGTGGCGTTAGGTACCCAGCCAAAGAGCGGAGACTTCACACTTGCCATTCATTAGTGTACTAGTGAATGTTCATTAGTGCTAGGCCACGTCCCTTACTTGCTTTAGCAGCGGGTATTTTTATGACACACCAATTTCCGGCTGCTAGAATAGCTCACTCTCGCCCGTCCAAGCGCCGGCGCATGGGACCTACAAATCTCGAAATCAATGGAACACCAAAAAAAGATGATTTCTCATGATATAAGCAATCAAATTCGTTACTCTTTCAACTCGTAATAGTCTCTCACTTTATGTTTCATTCCAAGCTAACGATTTTGATGGTTATTACTACTGGGATTTTTTCTTTCACCAGTTTTTTGTACTGACCGCACATATTTGCCAGAGAATGCGAGATAAGGACTAAATCCTTCGGTACAGAATGTTTTTATTGATTAGTTAATCACAGCTAATTGAATTTCCATCAATTACTGGGTCATATTTCCAGCACACATTCGCAAATCTTAACATCTCGAAACGAGTATGGCATTGCTTTTAGAAGTTCTTGGAGTTACATTTCACTCAAAAGCTTGATTTCCGAATTTTGCGAGTTGATTAATTCTTATTATTTTATTGCAAATTAATGTTGTGACGTTGCTTTAAAAATCTTTTTTTGGCAGCCTATTAGGTGTATTGTTAAATACCCTCAGCCAAATTGAGTAATGGGCGTGTTCTAGCGTACACCGCAATTTGACGAGTGTGAAGCTCGCTGGGTACCAACGCCTTTCGATATGTTGAATCAAAAAAATTCAAGCAGTAAATACAACTTCGTTGGATTGACTTCAAAAAAATGTAAAGCTGATTTCCGAATGGTACTTTGCTGCCGAGTCACAAACAAGCAACAACGTTTTCTTCTTAAACTTTCCTTTCGTGGAACATCATCTGTAATTTTGACGTTTTGTTCCAGCACCGTTGGTCTGGGCGATCTAGTGCCATCCTCACCTCGTCTTCTTGTTACGATGTTTGGATTCATTCTTATTGGGCTTTCCTTAGTTTCTATGGTTATCAACCTGTTGCAAACCAAGGTGAGTTTCTCTCACAGATTCTGGAAACATCCTAATGAAATCTTCACCCGAAGGTGATTTAGGGTACTTAAGCATGTGCTCAATAATGACGTTCTTCCAAACAACTTTCAGCCATTCTGGTTTCGTTTTAGATGAAAAAGACGTATGAAGCCGGAAGAGTGACACATGACGGCAGCATCATAGACAATGCCCTAGTGATTTCTTCTTCAACCGAGGTTTGCCTAACTTGGCTGGCAATGATGTGGTGATTCATGTGGGGTCTTGCAGAAACTTAAAAATTCTCCGACTCGTGAAGAACCTCAGTCAATATCGGAACGTAGCCTTAGTAGATCGACTCAGACGAACTTGAGTCTACCGGGAGTGAGGCAGGTGGGTGCACCTTACCAACTAATAAGTGGAACAACAGAAGTAACTCCTCACAATTTACTTCTGCGAGGCTGATTGTACAAAAAACACCACCAGTCACTGCCCATATTTTCAGGTTGTACTTCGTTCCGACGGTGTTCACTGGGTAACTGATGAATTACCACTGAAAAGCCCAGACGAGGTACTTTCTAAAAAAGAATAAATAGTAAATATTTTTCAATAAGAAAAGATTGAATTGCCGTTTGTATATTTACCGTGTTCTAATCATACAAAGATGAATAATCCGTCCCAAATAAAAGTTGTCACTCTCTCTATAATCTTTCAGGTGACCCACCTGCTAGAGCACGAGACTGCTTTGCGAGTCTGCGAACAAATAGGTTAGTATAGCCAATAACTTATCATTACTAGAGTCATAATAATTAACAAATTTTTCGCGAGATTGTATTAGTTTGTCATACATCCAGCAAATCTTTGATGCAATAATTTCAAAGGGAAGATCATGCGACCGTTGCTCAATGCAAAAATCATTGGCCTATGGCTGTAATACAAGCTGACCGAGAGAAACACTCAAACCATGTTTTCAATATTTTGATAGGAAAAATGCCAAAAAGCATCTAAAATCTATTCACTTTTGACTATGTTTTTAGTCCTGTTCAACTTGTAAGAGGAATATTGATTGGTTGTCTGTGATATTCATGACTTCCAAACTTTTATTTGGCCTTATTGTTTCTAAACAACGCTCTGATGTAATATAGTGAAAGTGATGAATGAAAAAGTGTATAGCAGACGTTCATAGTTTCAAACAAGGGTTCAGACTGTCTCTTTCGTAACTCTTGGAGCAAAAACTGTTGACTAGATTGATAAATCCCATCAAATTGATTTATATATGTCGTGATTACTTACTGGCTGATAATTTCCTGTAATACTTGCATTTGTTTAAAGTGGATTTCGTTAAATTTTTCCCTGCTGTATTCGGACTATGCAGTATCAGTGATTCAAACGTTTTTCCTTCTTCAGGTGATAATAACGAGGACGACGACAACAACACTGATAGCCTTGGTGAGACCGATGCTTTACTTGAAAAAGAAGAGGACTATCCTTAGTTTGCAAATTAGGTGTAAGTCAGCTACGTAGATGATGCTGATCTCAGAACACAATCTCAAGATGTATATCTCGCCAAAATGCTCTGTGCGTTTTTCTTCTTGCTAAATCATGATAAGGGTGATGCTTTTATCTTTCGTATCATTTTCTCTATTCTCGATTATGCAAAGTTTGATTGTCATATAGTAAAAATTAATTCACCGGTTGGGAGTACTGTGAACTTACTAACAAGATCTGACATTTGGAGAATATGGTTCAATTGATTCTACTATCAGCAAAATGCGGTTAAAAATGAATGAGTCTGCTCAAGGCTGGCAAGGAGAGGAACTCATCGTAAGTTTACATATAAGTTTGTCATCATTTTATGGCAAGGGAGCAAGGAAGTGTTATGCTAGATCTAGATAACTATCATTTCTTCTTACATACCATCACCATGATGGGGACAATCTCATCAAGATACTTTCGGCGGTTTGTTCCTCGGATCTGACAGAAATTGGGAGACCCGAAATTGTAAATTTACTGGTCCTTGCCGTCAATTGTCTGATGCACTTGGCCAGCGTCTTAGCTTGTTCTGTAAGGTATTGGCACCAATGCAAAGCTATACAGGCAATAGGCTCTGATTTCTTTGTCGGAATCATCGACGATAATCTTGTAGATGCTGCGGCATTCTCCGTAAAATCTCTTGTCCATGTAAAATAGCACAGGCTCACCTTTCGTCGTAGCTTCAAGCTAAAATTTATTTAATAATAACTGCTGAGACTGGGTGACGCGCATCTCGTCATTGTTAACGTCAAGCTCCAGTTATAGATTGACTGACGAGCTCCTCTGCGGTTTCTGAGAGCAGTTTTTCAACAGCAAATTAATGTTAGTGATGTCCCTTGGTTTAATAGTTGCGTTCGTTGCGTAGGTTTGAACAGGAACGTTGCACTCCGACACTTTTTGCTTATCGTAGTAGACACTGAATAGGTGTTCATCCCGCATTTGGACCACAACAGCCACTTAAATAGCCTCGAGGCCCTACTAAAATCCTAGATCCTTTCTGTGAGGAGTTCGTGGGATCAGGGCATAAATGGTGGTGCCTCAGTCGAAATTTCGTGAGGGTCACAAAAGCGAATCATATGTGATGTGATATTCAGTGATAATTTGTTACGAGTCAAAAAATGAAGAATAATATAATAATTCGCAGACCTGTCGGCATGGTGAATACGGATACACAAGTTCGGAGTGGGCTTTCATGGTTGTTGTCACTGTTTGCGCAATACTTATTTGTGTCTTAGCATACTTTGAGAAGGTATACAAAATCTTTTCTTTCGATGATTGTTACCGCTTCGAGTTGATTCCAGATCTATGTAGACGGCAACTATAGATTAAGACTGTTACTTGAATATTTGCCGACACCGGAAATAGTGATGCGCTACAACAAAGCTGGAGATACTGTGATCGGAATTGAGAAGACACAGGAGACCAAGGAAGAAGACGGGCCAAAAGAAACATCGTGATCCTTTTTATTTAAACGAGTCTCATTTTGTGCATAGTGCGCGATCAATACCAAACAAGATTATAAATTATCAGTATATCCCTGTATAAGAAGTGAACCAATAAACGAGATGAAAAAGCCTACAAATATCTAGAACTCTCTGGAACTTTTCGAACTTTTCTGCGTGAGTTAACCCATTGACAACAATGTGTACCGTCTGTGGTCCCTTGCTCTTCTTGCTGCCAGAAATGATTTCGACCGCCTTTGGCCCACACCTCTCGCAGAGGCATATCTTTTGCAGGCCTAGATTTCACCAATTGTTTGCACTCGGGACGGTCTACGTGGCTTTTAAAATCTGCAGACGTCGTTGTTCAAAAATATTTGCGGTTTTTTTACAAAACAAGCAACATCTAAGCAACCGTAAGAGATTTTCGAAAGTATTGTGCATTATTGCGAAGTCCCAGGCGTGTCATGCAAAATTAGGCGTCGTTGTCCAGTGGGATGAAGACAGCTTCGTTTGCTGAGTGAAACTTCGTAAGTTTCCAGAAGTGAAGACTTGGAGGTTTGTAAAAGTCAGACCTATTTCGAATGTAGATGTAGACCTATGTACCAATTTTTATGATATAAAACTTGGGGATCTAAAGCCAATGCCAAGTCGCAGATAGAAGGAAAACTGCGCTTCCCTCACTGCTTTTTTTTGAAAAACCAGCTACAGTTAGATAGAAACTAACCCATGTTAGTGTGTTCTGATTTGATTATAGTTTAGAGAATTTATGAAGCATTCATTCTCATGATTTCCTTTTCTAAGGTTTCCACTGATGCTACCGTCGAGTTGACTTTGATGACTCTGATATAATCTATTGGGTTGTTGCAAGAATAATTTCCGTTTTGCAAAGTTTTACTTTGAAAGGCTATAGCTCTGTCCAGTCTCCATAGTTGTGAATGCAATCAAAACCATCAGAAGCAGTAAACCTTTCGTAACCCAACGCGCACCAGCATATACCGAATATCGCATACGGGAATGAAACCATGTGCCAAAAACCAAAAGTTTTTCATTTGAAAACCTCGTTTTCAAGAGATTAAACTTCCTACAAGTTTTGTTTCTATAGCTGCTAATCAGGCTATTTTGTAGGGCAAGCCAGTAGTATACCGTTGTCTAAACAGAAACTTCAACGAAAGAGACCTGCGAAAAGAAAAGAAAGAATTTCAAATTGTTTACTTTTTGAGCTTATTTGTTGGGCCAGAAGGCCCCAAACTATGAAAATTTGAAATTTTTCTGAATAGCTAAGGTTTTCTGCAAAAATTGCGGGCAAGATATCCTGACTTCAACTACAGAAATGAGCGAAGCTTCGGCGACTGCCCTAATTATGCGAAACTTCGGACCCACAGAATACCAGCAGCGTATCTATCTCGCAGCGTCGATTTCTCGATCAAAACATTTTTAGAAAATCTACTTAAAATGCTATAAGTAAACAATGTTCAACCAATACAGTAGCTATGTTTTCAAAAGAAATCGTTCATTTGCGCCTGAATTGTTGCCAACGAAGTTAAAACAACAAAATTTCGTTTTCGAGTGCAGCTGTGCGAGATGCTTTTAAATTCTCACAGATGAAAAGAAGCTCAAATTTACAAATGTTTGAAAGTATGTGAAGAAAGCTTTCGAATGATACGCAGCATCTATATCAAAAAAGAACTTTTGAAGGAAAAAGTTGTTTGAAATGTAGGCCTAGAAAAACGAACATTATTTATGCAACAGCCTAATATAATACTAGGTTGTCCCGAAAGTTTTGTCCGTTTTTTCAACCTATCATAAAAACGCGTGGAACGAAGATAGGGAAACGCTCTAACCACTATCCGATGCATCTTTTCCTTCTCTTTCTAACTGTCATGCTTCCATGCCGATTAATCTTTTGTTCACTGAGATAAACGCCGAAATTTCGAACCCATGGTTTTTACTATGTCCAAGTTTGGCAATTTTTCACAATCTTTATTTTTGACTTTCGGAAAAGCTTTGGCAACAGTTAGATAGAGCAAACAAAGGGCAATATAATGCAATTTTGCGGCATCTATAGCCAGCCTTGAAAATTTTTTAGAATTATTTTTCTGATGCTATCAAATTCCACTTTTGGTGATGCCAAAAGCCAGAGATCATGAAACGGCGCACAACTAAGATGTTAATCGATGCATGCTTTTCCTCCTCTTTCCAATTAATGTATTTTCTCTCCAATTTGCGTGGTTTTTGGCGATAAAATTTTCATAATTTTTGAACTTGACCCCACCCCAGCGTGTACACGTAAAATGCAAAATCTTATATTTCGAAGCAGTAAACGCTCATTTGCTTCGTAAAAATAGTGAATAATCGTAATCGGTTTTTGAAAGCTTCAAAATCCGATGATATGTTAGTGTTCGAGGCGTTTCTGTATTTTAGAAATTCGCAAAAGTGAAGACTTTCGAAAAGTTAACTTTAAAGATATTGAAAGGCTAGCTAGATTTGCCAAATAATTGCATTGCATTGCCCTTTGCTTACTCTATCTAGGGCTATCTAAGTTCTTCCAAAAGTTGAAAATGAAGATTGTGAAAAATTGTCAAACTTGGACATAGTAAGAACCATGGGTTCGAAATTTCGGCGTTTATCTCAGTAAGCAAAAGAGTAATCGGCATACGGGTCTGACAGTTAGAAAGAGGGGGAAAAGATGCGTCGGATAGTGCTTAGAGCGTTTCCCTATCTTTGTTCCAAGTATTTTTATGATAGGTTGAAAAAACGGACAAAGCTTTCGGGACAACCTAATAATAACAACTGGCTAGAGTATTAGGTCGTTCCGAAAGTAATGTCGCTTTTTTCAAACGTACGCCACATCTCGTGGAACAAAGATGTGCAAGAGATTCTGGTAGCATTCGATGCAGCATTTCATTCTCTTTCTAAAGGTTATATAATCACTGCACAAAATTCAGTAACCTCTTAAAAATTATTAAAATCTGCGAGCCATGCTTTTTGAGAAGGCCAAGTTTCGCAATTTTTCTAAATTTTTACAACAGTCCTCGGAAGGAGTCCAAGTAATGGATAGATAGAGCAAACCGAAACAGCACAACTTTTTTCTACTTTCCAGAGCTCGTATAATTTTTGTATAGATTTTTTTGATGGAACCACCGAATTTTAACAGGCTCGTCTCAGACACAAAAGCATCAAACACCAATAAATCTTCGGATTTTGAAGTTTACAAAGATAGATTATGGTTTGACACTAATTTTACAAAGTGAATGAGCGTTTACCGCTTCAGATTAGCAACTTTCGAAAATTCCGGTACAGCCTGGGGCGCCTTGAAAAACTTGAATCATGATGATTTTACTCCGAAAAACTTGATAAATCGGAAACAAAAAACAACTGATAGAAAGAGGAGAAAAAGCTGCGTCGATTGACACCCGAGTTACTTGCCGGTTATTGTTCTGTGAGGTTTGAGTTGACCAAATATGGAATTTTATAGCACTGAAAAATTGATTCTAGAAACTCTAAGAAGCAAACTAAGGAAAAGAAAAAATTTGTTCTGTGCTCTATAGGGTTTGCTCTATCTACCTGTCACTTGCTCTTCTCCTGAAAATAGGTACAAAAATTTGGAAAAATAGCCGAACTTGACCATGACAAAAAGCATGTGTCGCAGATTTTGGTAATTTTTGAGAGCTCGTTGAATATTGTGCAACGAAATTATAATCATTAGAAAGAGGTAAAATGCTGCATCGAAAGCTCCTGAGACCTCTTGAAAATCTTGATTCCGTGAAATGTGGCGTTCATTTGAAAAAAGCGACATTACTTTCGGAACGACCTAATATAATACAATTTTTTATTCATTTCCTTCTAGGCCACCTGTGAGGTTGGTGAATAAGCCTTTAATTCCGAAAAGTGCCAAATCAATGAGAGGAATCAGACACATGGAGCAATGTAGCATGTCTCAACCAATTCAAAAGATGGGCAACATTTACAAAAACAGAGCAGAGCCGAAGCATTTAAAGAAAGACTAGAAAGAATAAGCGCATTTGTAATAGATCCTAACCCCAACAACAGTGGTAATTCAACAAAGTAAAGACTGTTCCGAAAAGCTGAGAAAGCAAAAGAACTGTAGTATGGCATCTAATGGAACCCTATAAAACTGCACAGCAGAAAGTAATGTGCAAACTAATTTCAATGCTGTTATCTCTCCATTCGAGGGCTTTTTGACTGAAACGAAAGCGATTCTTTGTCGGCATTTTCGTCTAAACCAATACGCCGCTTTTTCCCAATCAATGATAAAGGACGAAGATACACGGTCTTTTTATGTTGCTGAGCAAGAGGAGGCTGAAAGAAGTTATTGGAAAAATCGTAACCAAAGTGTTGAACTAGAACATAACACAAGGTACAACTAACCGTAAAGATGTCTTTGAGAAGCTTGTACACAAGATCTCTCTTCTGTTTCTCCGAAAAATCTTCGTCACCCTCGGTAAAATTTTGAACCTTCAAAAGATACATTATGATTTGATTGATCACGTGCAAAAACCATGAGTGGCCTATGAACTTCTGGAGAAGACTGTAAAGCAGACATTGACTAGCAAAGTATCAAAGGACAAGGAATCATGACTTTTTGTGATTGAACTTAGCCATGCTGTAGGGGTCGCATGGATGTGGCGGCATTGACTGCATTAGAACATTATACAGTGCAAAATTTCAGCTCAAACTTATGCACAGATTTCGTGACAGACATCCATAACAGTGGCGTAGGGGGAGGGCGGGGAGGGAAGGGGGTGAAAGTTACAGGGCCTATCAACTGCAATGCCGGGAGCACCAGCATCTCCGCTGCAGCGCGGCCGCTTCGCCTGGACTCTGCACTTTCGCGAAGCTCTCTGATCACTTTCCCACCCCGAGCCGGGAAAAGGTGGAGCCTCATTTGGTTAGATAGTTTAGAGAACAAGTTCGCGAATGAGATGCAGAGTTCTGCGCGAGAGCGAAAACGCTGATGCACCCGACACTGCAATTGATAAGCCCTGTACATGACTTAAATTGCGTAAACAACTTGCTTATACTTGCAAATAAATAACATACGGCATAATATTTTGAAATTAAATTCATTAATCCTATGAAAAAATTTTCCCTCTCTCTAAAATTTTGAGGTTATCGGCAGGCAAAAGTTTTGAGAAGCGCACCAAAACATTTTTGGGAGTGCGTGGCTGACGCCAAGCGCCTTCCTTTAGAGAAATTTTTGTCCCCCCCCCCCCTCCCCCCTCTCCCACCGAACGAAAACACTGGATTCCACTGATACATAGCACACAACATTTTACTTTCTCTGATACATGTATAGAGATGTCGGCAGATTTTCTATCCACTCTACAAAGAATCCCAATCATGGTGTTTGGACCAAAATAACGCGATGCATATTTTGGTTCATCCTTGTCTGTGATTATTTGCAAAATAAGCTAACTGACATCCCGAATTCACCCTAATAGAGGGCCGGACCGTTTGATCGATGTAACACTTTATGCAGCAAAATACTTCCCCAGTGCTTCTTTCTTGCACGTATACAGCACTGCGATAGTCTTTGCACTTAAATTAGTCTCTTTTTATCCACCTCACCGTATCTGCTAACCAGCAGATAAAAAATCTCCCCGGCCTTGCATAAATGAGATGAGAAAATGCTTGCTTAATGCATGCAGCTTTGATTTTCTTACAAGGGACGGTCACGAAGTCGAAGTGGCCTAACACTTCAAATTGGATATCGTTGGTGAGAGCTTGGAACGCTAGTTCCAGATCTACTTTTTTCTGCAGAGCGCCTTTGGGAGAAGTTATGGCATATCTTGGAGTCGAAAAATGAACTGACGGCGGGAATAAAATGAAACGCTACAGCCTCTTTAGACCCTAAATAAAGCAGATGCAAGTGTCAGGATACTTTATACAATAAAATACTTCTGTCTCGTATATCAATACTTCCTATTTCTTTGTTATACGTATAGAAAGGCTGTAACGAATGATTTTATCTCGGCCATTAGTTCATTTTTCCGCCTCAAAAAATGTTCATAACTTCCTTCCCAAAGGCGCTTTGCAGCTAAAAAAGCAGATTTGGAACCAGCGTTTCAAGCTCTCACTAACGGTATGCAGTTCATAGTAATCGACCACTTGGACATTGTGACCCTCCCTTGTTAGAAGTGAACAGGTCCATAAATAGATAGAAGGGCCCAGAAAACTGCCGCAAAACCTCATTCGCCGTGGCTTATTCATATGGGCGCGAAATTGAGTCTCTTCTCTGATTCCACAAAGGATGAATCGCATTCAATTCTGGTACGCAAACCTCTTGTTTGACTCAGATTACAATGCATGTTCGTATTACCTTATCATCAAATATGTCAACCATATCCTCCGTTACGTTTGGAACTTGCATGAGAATGTGTAGCAGAGAGTTTGAGAAACGTCGCTGAAATTCGAATTAGAGGCTGATATCATGATGACCACTGCGGACACAACGTACCAGAGCGCAGTATATGTGGAAAACCAAAGTTGTGAGCACAGTGCCGGCTGCTTCATCTGTCCCATGAAGTTGTAGCGAACGTATCGTAGAGACTAACATGTACACTCCAATTTCATCGTCGTAGCAGTCCACTAGCTCAACAATAGCGTAATTTAATGCACAAAATTCAGTGAAGTAACTTACCCCCTCAGCCAATGCTTTGCAAAGAGGTGCAGACTTCACTGCTAGTGGCGAGTCAGGAAAATTCAACGATGAAAATGCTGTCATTATGACTGGTGATAATCCTATCTTATTGGTGAAAAGCCAATGCCCAAGTGGTGATAATCGATTTGTTTTGGAGTCACCTACAAAGTCAGTCAAGATAGAGAAGATAAACTGGAGCAGATGCGTAAAAGCTTTACTCACTGTCGCAATGCAGATAACAAGACCGTAGGAAGTCAATGTACTCCCGAGATACAACACACGTTAGGTGTTCATGAAAAACCTCTTGCTCAGTTGTTTCAGAATCTAAATAAGTTTAGAGACAGCTCCCAAAACTTCAAAATCTTTACCGTGAACTCTGTTAGAGATGTTTTCCCACATTTTCTCTAGTCTTTTTTGCATGGAATCAGCAACGCATACGAAGAAACTTTCCAATATTGAGAAGTTTTCGACAGGACAGTACTCCAGTATCGATTTCCTATACAAAACTGATTATATGATTACACCTAGAGAGGCGGCACCAACCATCCCTTTTTGATCCAATGACGTAGGTTGAATTCTGGAATAAAATTAAGGTTCGAAACCAGACAATTCAGCAGTTCTTTGATTTGTGGCAGGTTGAAGATGATTCCTGGGAATTTGGCCACAACAGCTGCGATTATTGTAACTCTAGACAACAGCAGTATGTTGATAACTATAGAAGCAATGAGAGGGTACTGCGAGACTCTATGATGCTTACATTTGTTCATTGAGATCGTGCACGTACTGACGTTCAACTGCGACAAAATCGGTATCAACCACTAGGGCACCACTAGAGACCATTCCATGAGTTTCGCCAACAGAACCTGATATTTTCTGTGCGTTACACCGTATAATGCTTAACAAAGGTACAACACTATGCCCACAGTATATCTGCTCTTTTTCTGATGCAACCATTTCTGTAATGCCTTCGCGAATTGAATGATGAAGAAGAGCCTTGTTATGTTCCAAATGAATCTCCAGTAGACATCTGAATTACAACTGAAATCTCCAAGATTGTCACGAAGACAGATCCACCTTGCCAGCTTAAAAAAGCAAGGATAGATAGGCTCGAGCATAGCTCCAAGTTGGCTAGAGGAATTGACTTGTTGTACAGCTCCTTGAATACATGCAAGGGCTCGACGAAGCTAAACAGACGTACTTCAAAGAATGTTGACCCATTAGTAAAAAAACAGATGCTCATAGATGGCGGTCCAAGAAATTTTTTGGAAGGGAAAGACAAAAGCTTTTCTGGATAAGTGTGACCTTATCAAGGCGTTCTCCAGAAAAAAAATATCGCTTCGGTCGCTTTCTGAAAGTTTAGTGGAGCCATAGCCCAAAGGCAGAGGCGAGAAAATTCTTCTACACGTTACGAAATTTTTTGAAGCTTTGAAGATTAGTAGGCTTTTTTTTAAAGATCTGTCCAGTTTTTACCCTAAATTCACGCGTATAGGACGCGAGGGATTTTTTCTTATGAAATCGAACAGCACAGACAGACGAAGGAATTCGCAACCAAGAAACAGTTTACAGTGCTTCATATTGCCTGAGAGTATCGTTTGGCATAAGTCGCGTTTTTCGAAAAACAACGAGGCAACTGAGCGGCACGCTTGACAAACCGAACAATGTGCATCTTATACGCGTGAAATTAGGGTAGTTTCCTTATTACAGCTATTTTTTAGGAGTTTTGCACTCATCGCAATGTTATGAACATCATTCAAAAACCTTTTTTGTTCTTTCCAGTGCTTACTAACTCTCGACAAAACAAATTCCCAGTGGTGACTCTTCAGGCCTCGAAGTTAAGTGCCAAAATACAGTCATGCTCAAGAAAAAGTTTCTATGAAAAAAATTTCCGCAGAGTCCGTGAAATTACCTATGCATTCATATTGAATTAGGATGTAATGGGCTAATATATCTGCAATTTGGAAAGAACTTTTGAAACGACCTAGCATTGCAGTGAATAATTATTGAGAGAAATACACTGGCGAATTTTGTAAATCATGCAAGTTACTTTCAAAAATTTCACAAACAAATGAGAGGTACACGTCTCGGCTCCCTCTCCCGCATCCACTCCCCTTGGTGCAACATTCATACTAACTTGCTGCATGATTTCTGTCCGAGTGCAAATTTGAATGCAAGCGCCATAATTTCTTACAAATGAATATTTTTCGATAGCTTTAATTTCTTTGAATTCAGCAATTTCTTAGCTATCAGAGGGATACCAAGCCTTACAAAGATATCTTTTAAGAAGAAGCAAGAATCCAAAAATTTTACATTGTATGCTCCCTTATAAGAACTGACAAGCACATCAAGCCAGTTGGATAGAAAAAAGATTTATAACCAAGAAGAGCCTACGAAATCCTTGGTGCCAACAAATTCTGACCAAACCAAAAAGACGCCTCTTTCTGACCTCGCTTCAACGCACTATGCCTATTTTCAAGTTATGAAATTTTCACAGTAGCCGCAGGCGGTGAAAGGTGATTGATTGATAGGCCTTGTAAGCTTCGCTTTACTCTAGCACCTTCAACGTTGGACTCATCGATTGTGTCTCACAGAAGATCAATGTTTGTAGAACATTAATGTGGATGATTAGTTTTCCACAACAATTTCTACAAACAAGGCAATTTCTACGTCAAAGTGAACTTGTGTATATGCTACCTCATCACACCCTTACTCCGTGACCGCTACAGGGGCTTGTTGTAAGGGGGGGGGGGGGGCGTTGTGGAAATTTTCTTACAAAAACATATTTCGCAAGTAAAACCTTTCGGCCATGTGGGATCTTGGGCCTGCAGTCTCGTTGAACTGGGGTTCTTGTGAAATTCAATATGCAGCAGAAAAAGCAAGAGAAGTGTTTGCCATTCTTACAAACATTACGCATCAAAGAAAAAATCGTTGCTTCGAACACAAGGCTGAAAAACGGACAGAACTTATGCAGGAGGTTAGCACCTACCAACTGCAGTGGCAGCCGCAACAATGCTTTGAAGGGACATTTACAGAATTTTTTTCAAATGAAGGAGCAAAGCTGGCGAACAAAAGATTTCCAGAAGTTTCAGATGTTTTGCACGCAAATACCTCTAGAATTTAGAATAGATATTAGCCACGCTTTGAGACAAAAAGGAGATATTCACTACCACTGGCACTCACTAGAGAGGGTAGGTCAGAATCAACCTTATAATCAAACCTCAATCCTATTTAGTTTCATCGACTCATCGGTAACAAAGGGGTCAACATCAAAGGAATTAAACTTGACGAATGAAATCATATCCTCAAAAGACCTAAAAATAACAGCAGCTGAGATCAAGTTAGATTGTGCCCTTGACTTACTCTGCAATCTTACAGATATAGTCTATGGAGGATCCTACAGCCATATGCAGTAACTCAGATCTTATAGATTCATCATCCACAAAATTTGATAGCACGGCAAAAACCTATAACTTGCATTGACTTCCGAAGACATCACTTCTAAAAAGAGGGTAGAGCATACTAACTTGCAATAACTGAGCCATTTGCATCTTTGAAATGACTTCATTTGCGTCAGCATACAGAGACAACATGCTAGAAACATTATTCTGAAAAAGAATTTGGTATTAAGCCGTCAGTTTACTATACATTGGTATATTATTTGCCTCAAAGCAATTGTTGCGAAACGAACATCAATCATCCGATTGCTATAGTAGCCTACTTCAGTAATTTCAAAACTATTTCCTTGATTAGCTTGAAACGGGTAAAGGAGATTGAGTCGCCGAAAGGGGCGGTCCCCGAGGACATTTGCAACAAATCGCGCGCCTTTTACCACTCTTATGCTATCTGGGGCCTAATGTCTTTCACCTGCTTGATACCTTCCTATTAGTGGCGTACCCAGGATTTCGGCTCGGGGGGGGGGCGGCAAAAATTTTTTTAAGTGAAGGTGCGTGGCGTCAGCCACACACTCCGAAAAAATTTTAGGGGCCTTCTCAAAATTTTTGCGGTCCCCCAACCCCTACAATCTGGAAAAGAGGGGCGTGGGGTCAGCCGCGCCCCCGAAAAAAAATAATTTTATGGCTGATTTGAATTTTTAAAAAATTTTCAAAATAATTTTAATTGTTTACAAAAACAAACAAGTCACATTTTTTTCACATTTTTATAACTCATGTAAGTAACTTTCAAAAATTTCGCGACCCGTTCTCAGGGGGGGGGGGGGGGCGAGCCCCCTTCGGTACGCCACTGCTTCCTATTATTCAAGTTTTGCCCGCTTTGTCGGTCACTAAAACACTGAATCGACAAAAGACGCAGGTATGATTTGACTCAGATTCTTATCTTTCTAGAAAACAGATTTTTACCCTACTCTAAGCAGTTCTTACAGACATGGCCTCTTGAGCAGTGACACTACACCAAATATTTTGAAAATTCTTACCAATATTCAAAAGATTTACTACATACATTATAATCGATTTTGAATCAAGTTTTCAAAGTCTAACCGTTTACGGAATGAAACCCCTAGTCTGAGCACATGTGCACAGGCGTATCCTACCAAATGCTTTGAATTCTAGCAAGTTGTAGATTTTCGATGATTTTACAAAGAAGTATCAGAATTTAACTCGTTTTTTTCTAGCGCCCCTATTTCTGCTTTCTGCGTGATGGAAAATCGTTTAGGCACTGTTTTAGAGTGCACGATCACGTTCTTCACTTGTGAATTTTTGCAATTTTCGAAATGGAACATTCAGGTCAATTTGATAACCAGATCCTACTCCAATGTAAATGTGTTCTCACCTTAAAGTATATGGGAAACTTCTGGACAACCCGAAGTATGAGGCTTACAGTGTGTCGACTAAGTATTTTATTGCTCGAAGACATCACGAGGCTCCTTTAATCTTGTTAAGTGAATCTAAGAATCTATGATACAAAACTTATGACCCCACCGCCGTAGAAGTGAAAAATATATGTGCAGTTTTGCGTCATCGTTTACATAACTTGGCAGAAACGGAGAATGAAGCGAGAGCATCTGCAACTGATTTAATCAAACACATTCTACTTTGAAAAAACCTCCAAAACCGACCTCATTTAGGATATCGCAATCATCGACACTGAGCATCTTGTTAATTAGTGCATCACGCATTTCAATCAGTATTTTTTCCTTCTGAATTTCTATGCTTGTGAGCGCGTGGAGGAGGACTCAGGACATACCCTCTCCGCAAGATTCTTCTCATAAACAACTTGTACAAAATTCTTCGCAAACCTTTGCATAGCTTCCCACTCAAGGTCACTAACTATAAAAACGAAGGCGAGCAGAACAAAAGGGGTGTGACTTTTACTCACTTGCATTAGGTTCCAGTATAACTTTCATAATTACGGTATTGTTGTAAACGGTCAATAAGTGATTAAAATGCACAGGTAGGTTTTCCGAGATAAGGAGCTGGACACGGGAACGAAATCCTGTAAAAAGACTACGAACAGAAATCGCATTTACAGAATGGAATAAGTTTAGTCAAACTTGTAAATAAATTATGCCACTCCGAATCGTCATCAAAATCCAGCCGAGAAAAGTGAGTCTTGGCATTAAACGGTTTCTGAGACGGACACCCTTCCTAAACATGCGCTTTCTTTTCTTTGGCACTGGAGCGGTTCTTACCTTCATAATTGCCATTACTGTATTTGACAGAACTTCACATATAACTCGCATAAAACAGGGGTCTTTTCGGAGAACTGCATGGGAAGAGAAGCTCAACAGGACATCACAAGCTTCATACTTTAATATCTAAAGCCGAGTCAATGGCGTGGCAAATTTGAGACAGCATCTTTATATATCTCACCAGAGAGTCATGAGTGAAAAAAGCTAGCACAGCCATCAAAAACGCTTCAAACTCTGGCGGAGTTGACTTATCGGTCCATCCCTTTGATAGAAGACCTAAACTTCCTAGTAGTGATGAAACTTCAGAGGTATTTAAGAGAATTACCAACCTCCCAAAGAAACCACCAGCTGGCACGAAAACTTCAAATATCTATAAAACTGTTCACTAATTTGATATCCCTCATTAGCAAGGCTGAAAACAAAAATTGTTTTCCCTATTTAGCAATTCGAACACCAATCACCTTATGGTTTTAAGAAGCGCCGAAAGAACCTCTGAGCGAAAAAATGCAGAAATTGTTATTGACGTGCTATGCTTGTCTCTGTAAAAGATTTATAAGTCTAAGAAAAAATTTTCAGGACACCTCTTAAGCAATCTTGAACATTTGATACGCTGCCGAGCAAATGGTAAATTATAAGTGGGGTACTATCTAATAGAGAGCAAAGCAAACCCACAGGATGAAATCTAAATGCACAGACGTAAACTGAGGAATGTGACATTTACCAACAAAATATATTTATGCGACTTCCGTTTCCTTTACAGGTCTGTTCCCCGCTGGCCTTTCTCTTCGATGTGCTTGCTGACTTTGGTGAATCTCAAGGCGCTCCGCTGAGTTTCAAAAGCTTCTAATCCGCCTCTATTCATTCGACAAGCTCTTTGCTATCTTTTAATTTTACAATCACTTCATGTTACTCTTTTTTTCGTGTCATCAATAGTAATGATTGGCTTGTCACCCATTCTTGGATAAACAATAGCGCTGATTTTTGTGAGCGTGGACAGTTGCTTCCAAAAGCGCATAATATATTAGTTCAGTAGAAGACAGGGGTATGCAGCTTATGCCTGTCTGGTTAGTGAATATCTCATATGAGCCAATCGCTATTTTTTGGACAGAACAAATGGGAGGAATTCGAAACGCACAAACGCATTATGGTAGGCATCGCGGCAGCAACGCGCGTTTCGCCGCCGAGCGCGGCAGCCACAACACCTCGAGTTTTTGCGATTGTCCAGTATAAAAAAATGCTGAATATCTAGAGTTTTAATTGGTAGCATCAAGTAACTTGCCCCAGATCAATTTGCTTTGAGTGGTTTTTTGTGAAATTTAACGCTTTCTTCTTCTTTCTGATCAACAGCTTTGCACTAGCAACCGCATTGTTTCTTCTGCTCTCAGTCTTTATGTTTCGGAATATGATTTTTACAGCAGCAACAATATCAACAAACCATGCGTCACCTCTGCTTCGCAGAGGTTCGCACTGGCTCTACTATCCATGCCTTCTTCGTGATCGCATAATAATGACTTTGAAACTCACCGCGCGATGCTGAACATCACGACTGAACTGTAAACAACCATTCATTTTTAGAGATCTTCCATGTGAGATCGGTAATTTTGGGAGAAAAAGTTTTCCCGCAGAAAAACAAATGCGATTTTGAATGGGTTACTGAATTTATTTTAACTTTATAGTCGCCATAAGGATAAAGACCACCCTGGGCTACATATCTATTGAAAAATCCTCTCATTTTTTATAGTAAAAACTTGGCAAATCGACAATTTGCTCAGTTCATTTGGCGCCAATTTCGTGTAAAAATAGACTTTTTGCTTAATTTTTGAGCTGTAGTCGATGTTTTTTGGTTTCACTTGCTAAACAAATTCAAGACTTTGCAAGAAGTCCAAATACCGACCCATTTTCGCAGGCCAAAAGTCGTGTGGATCCGTTTGACGCACAGTTTTCGATGGTTCTACTTATTGGATCGGCTTGTGGTTTTGCACAGTTTACCTACATGCTGACTGGGTGCTATGACCAAAATTCTATATCAAGGCGCTGGCTGCAACTCAGTCTGTGAATTTCGTGACAGACAGACACACACACACAGACAGACAGACGCTTAGCGCTTTATTATAAGTCATGATGGGCCACAATTCAAAAGTGTGAGGTTAGACGTTTTGTTGAAGGGGATAAAAATATGCCGGTAAGACTAGTTCTTTTCAATCATCTCACTGATTCCAAAAACTTCAGATGCACGAGTCATTGCTTTGGCGCAATTTTAGCAATGAGGCGACAACATTCCCAATAGCTACCTCGGCTATCTGAAACGAAAAGTGAAACCGCGTCGCATGAGAACGGAGCACCAGAGAGATGTGTATGTAGAGTGCATAAGAGAATATAGGCCCATTGTTTGAATAGATTCATGCTTGATTTTCTCGTGAGCTTGTTATACAATACAGTGTGCATTGTCTACCATAATCACGTCATAAAATAAGCTTGCAATTCTGTAAACATAAGTTGCCGCAGTTTTTTTGAGCTCGTATCCAGCAGCTTTTCACCACTGGTCATCATCGCACGTTTCATAACATCCATGTAGTCATTTCTCTTCATTATGCCATACGTTAACTATTTCTTTATTAGAAAACTAGCTGGCTTACCCGGCTCCGCCGTATGTTCCAAATAGAAAATTCCATTTCTTAACCGATCCAGACCAAACTTGGCACACATACACTTCGGGCCCCGGCGGGTGTCACAGTCCACTTTTCGTTATCGATCGATGTCAATTTTATCAATTTTTTGCAAAATTTGAGCTAGGGGGCTGAAATTTGGGAGAGGGGTGTAATCGAGCATGCTGATCACCCCCACGGGGGTGCTCGATTACCCCTCCCCCCTGTGCCAACTCCCAGCCCCGTAGCTCGAATCTTGCAAAAAATCGATAAAATCGATATCGATCGATGACGAAAAGTGGCCTATGACACCCGGCGGGGTCCGATGTGTATGTGTGCCAAGTTTGGTCCGGATCGGTTCAGAAATGGAATGTTCTATTCGGAACATACGTACACACATACAGACAGACAGACATACAGACATACAGACAAACAGACATTCAGCTTTATATATAAGATATGAGTTCCAATCTAACCATTTCCTAGGCATCCTTTTTGTTCTATATGTCAAAAAATTAGGTACTTCGCTGCTCATAAATACGACGCACTTGCATTAGTATTAGGTCGTTCCAAAAGTAATGTCGCTTTTTTCAAAGGTACGCCACATGTCGTGGAATAAAGATTTGTAAGAGATCTTGGTAGCATTCGATGCAGCATTTCATTCTCTTTCTAATATTTGTATAACCACGGCAAAAATTTGATAACCTCTCAAAAAAATATCAAAATCTGCGACCCATGCTTTTTGAAAAGATCAGTACATACTTTCTAAATTTTCTGTAACAACACTCGGAAGAAGTTCAAGTAATGCAAGAATAGAGGAAATCCTAAAGGAAACAGCATCATTTTTTTCTACTTTCCATAACTCGTCATATTTTTGTATAGATTTTTTATTGGAGCACCGAATTTTAGCAGGCTCGTCGCAGACATAAATGCATCTGACACCAACAAATCTTCCGATTTTGAAACTTACAAAAGTGTACTATGGCTTGACATTATTTTTACCAAGAAAATGAGTATTTGCCGCTTCAGATTAGCAACTTTCGAAAATTCCGGTACAACCTGAGGCGCCTTGGAAAGCCTGAATCATGATGATTTAATCCGGGAAACTTTATGAATCAGAAACAAAGAGCAAGTAGAAAGAGGATAAAAAGCTGCGTCGAATAACACACAAGTTGCTCGTCTGTTATTGTTCTGTGAGGTCTTAGTTGACCAAATATGGAATTTGGTAGCATTAAAAAGTTGGTTGTAAAAATTCTAGGAGGCGAGCTAAGGAAATGGAAAAAATTGTTTCGTATCCTATAGTGTTTGCTCTATTTGCCCACTAGTTGCATTTCTTCGGGAAATCAGTACAAAAATTTAGAAAAAACCGAATTTGACCATGACAAAAAGCATGAGTCGTAGATTTTGGTAATTTTTCGAGAGCTCATCGAAAGTATGCAATGAAATTATAACCACTAGAAAGAAGATGAAATGCTGCATCGAACGCTTCCAAGACTTAGAAATCTTGCTTCCACGAGATGTGGCGTCTATTTGAGAAAAAAGCGACACTACTTTCGGAACGACCTAATATAAGACATCGGATCGATGCTTGCTGTTATCTTGTCGTCCACTCAAGAACGATGCTATTTCGCTGCGACGTTGTTAATATTTTTGTTCGATTGCAACATTCAATGAACTATGGGCTTATGTGCGCATTGGCTACCACAAACTGTTTGGATTATAAGTTGGGTGCAAGGACGAAAACCACCGGGTCTTGCCTCCGCGGACTACTTCCTCACATGTATGGATAGATGGTGAAAAAAATCAGTGGTCTGCGCAGGAGGGCTCTCAACGGCTGCTCTTCTATTCTGAGTAGGAGCATTTTCCTATCCTAGCGAAGAACAGTTTGATTCTTTTGCACCAGAATCATGTGAAGAAGCGATTTTTAGAGTGTCGAAACTTCAATTTTACTCGAAAAACAGCAAAATGCAAGGCCTCCTCAAGAAAATCTTCGAAAAAGGACGTTGTACGCTTTACGCGTTCCTTCAAACTTCCCAACTTGATGACTTCTTACAAGATATATTTGACTTAGGCTACTCTTTTTCCGTGATTTTGGAGTCACTGAAAAAGAGTCATAACATAGAACGAGCAGCAAAAGAAAACATGCACCGGTAATCTACCACAAAGAGGCTACCCTGCGAGTTTTTGAGCATCAACGTGACGCCCAAACTTCTAGACACTCGCTATGCATAAAAAAGTGTTTTGTGGTTTCCTACTTTGCTCTTTTTCTATTAACGATAGCGATAAAGCAAGCCTTACAACTCAACAGACATTTGTTCCTATTGCTATTTCGATCAAATTCTCAAAGTTTATGGACGCTATTGCGCTCCGCCGCGAAAAATGAGCGTCGCAGCTGCGACGCAGATCAAAGTCCGCTTGTGCGTTTCGAATTTGTCAAAGAAGTATGATGGTGGCATTACAAAATGCCATCACCTGTCCTCTCTTATCCAAATGAAATTTCTTTCCAAATCATTATCTGAAGTTACAGTTCCTTATTTACTCAATATCCTTCTGTTTCTGACTGATGGTAACAAGCTGGCCTGTCCACAGTTAAACAATTACTCACTAGTCTTGGCACACGTTCACGTGTCTTAGAGATAAAGAAAAAGGAAGTTTGATTTAAGCAATGCTCGGAGCTAGAATCCAAAAATATTGAAACAAACGAAACGGATCTTTTCGATAGAAAAACTCTTAGGACCAACTTTTCACGGACATATTCTCTTGGAAATTTCTCTTACAAGATATAACAATCATTTAAAATTGCAAAAAGTCATTTGCACAATTCCATGACATTCTTTAAAAAATTCCGCAATTCCTTCTCAAAGGTGTGCTCTCTTTCCCTCCCTTCCCTTCTATTCAACCAGATTCTAATCAGGAAAAATACTGCAAGCGTGCATATGGATGTTGTCATAGCATGTATCTAGTAAATTTGCCTTGCTATATTAAATCGTATCCCACTCACTTTTATCACTCGCTCTATCATAGTAGCAATACGACAGAGCTTTCGAGTCGTTTTGATAAAATCTCATCTACCTTTTCGATCCAGCAAGTTCGATAAGGCACTTAATAGCTTCTTCGCAGATGTTCTGTTCGCTACTGCCCAGATAACAAATCACCGTATCAACCATCCGAACTAGCTGCTTCTCCAAAGACACAGATGTGATGCAGCCACACAACTCCGCTAACCAACCAAGAATATTCTTAGCTGCCAGAATTTCCATATGATCTGCACATTCACAGATGAGATTAGGCGCAACGTATGATACGAGCATACCTGATGGAGATGAAGCAAGCACCTCTATAGCAACAGAAGCAAAATCATTTGCAGTGACACTCTGAATAAGCATAGCCGTTTTGAATATTACTAGTGCGATCATACTTGCCCGTAGATCGGGATCGGATAAAGCTGGGGTAAAACCAAGATCCAACCAAGCATTCGAACCGCTATGCACGTTTAAAGTCGTCCAAAACACAAAATTATGCATGGATAACTTTCTCGTAGATGTAACAGTGATGTTATACTCTGTGGCAGTAATTCATCAACGAACCTTGATGTCAAAATCTACCTCACCCTCAAGCAAAAGCAAATAAGTATACCATCTTCGCTCTAAATACCGGCATGCGTACTCAAATGTAGATTTTTGTTTTGAAGTTCGTTAGTGAATATGGCCATTGGTAATTTATTGTTTTGTGTCGTGCTTACGGTGCGCAATCTGGCGAGCCTCGGATACGGGCAATTACAACCACACCTCGAAGGAGAGCGAAAAAAGGAACTAACAATTGCGCTATGCATATCCTTACGTCGCCTCGGATTAGCAATTGAAGCCAATGTGGCAACGTTTTCAACTAGTCGGCGCAGAATTGCAAAAACAACGGCGCATCGCAACGACCCTAAAACGAAATTTCGTGATAAAGAACTTTTCAGTGAGAGTCGTCGTGACACCCCATGGTCGAGATTGTATGACAAAATGCGCAATCTAGCTTGCAATTTACGACGGGTAAAAGGCGGTGACGTAGGAGGAGCCTCTACCCCCCCCCCCCCTCCCAGAATAGGTCGCGAAATTTTTGAAATAACTTATATGAGTTATCCCCTTTCCCCGAACGGAATTCTGGGTACGCAAGGTAGAAGGGCATGGAAAATTCATTGGAGTAAGAGCTTTATGAAAAGCGCTATTGCAATCTTCGTCTCTCTCGATACGTTGATTTGCCCAACGCTTGTTTAAGGGGGGGGGGGGGGAGGGGCTACCTCACAGCGGCGGTCCGAGAATTTTAGTTGTGGGGGAGGGGTGAGGGAGCTAGGAGGGAGGCACATAGAAGTTTTTTTCCAGTAAAGAAGCATGGTATTAGCCTTTCGCGATATATCTTTGGATGCTTACCGATTTCATAGGGAATAAACACCAAAACTTTTCGAGAACGTGTGTGGCGCCCCCAACGAAAAAAAATATTCGGAAAAATTTTGAATGTTATACTATCATTAGCAATTGAAAACAAGTTACTTGCAATTTTTGACTTACGAAAACCGCGACCTTTTCGGGAAGAGAGTATTGAATGAATATCCTTCTTGTCTTGATGGCGGCGTAAGGAAGACTGAGACTAATCACATATTTTTTGTAAACCCACTTCGGGAACGACAACTGTTTAGAACCAGTGCCTAAACCAGACTAAGTTATACCACCAAACCCCAGCATATGGCGTGGTGTTGAAAAGGCGCTGTCACCCTTTTCGGGTCAATACGATTACGTCGTAGTTTATCTCCATAGTTTGCATCACCAAAAACTCTGAGGGCACTGCTCGTAAATGTACTCATTCTCAAGCAATCTACTGCTGATCAACAATCAGTCAAAATTGAGCGCTGTGCTAGAGCTGTCCCCGGACTTCGGAATCAGTATGAACGCAGCCTAAAAGATACTAGTGAAGCCTTTTTTACAGAACATTTTTTTTCCGAAATCGATATATTGCGAGACATCGGGAATATTGGTCTACTAGTTCGAATTTTGCATTTTCCAACTTGATTAGAGGTGCCTAGAAAAGGAATTTCCGTAATGTCACTGAGTGACTTGTTCGATGCAACACATTCTATATTTTCGCGCAGTGATCGGCGCCCTCCCTCCTCTCAAACTTACCTCCAAAGCGTGCAGTACTTGCAGCTTGTTGAAGATAATCAAGCTCGCAATGCCAATTTTGGTAAAGATGGTGCTGTTTTCGGGTAAGCTTACTTGCCGCGGGGCATGCGCATGTTGTGGCGTTTAGCATGAAAGATGTTTAGGCATGATGGCAGCGAAAGCGAGCTGTATTATCGGTCTGAAGTCAAACTGTTGTTTAATCAACTCAAAACAACTATGAACTCGATACCGCTCATTAGTGAAGAAAGCTACTTTCTGAGGAAACGAAGATTTAAAATTATCCACACCTTCCCTCGCCATTTCTAGCAACCGCCCATCCAGATCTGGCCAGTTTTGCGGCCATTCATGTTCCATCATAGCTACGACGCAGCGAGCACAAGGTTCGATAGTATCCTTCAAACTGTAGATTATACAAATTGTCCAATTCCAAAACGGTCACCTCCGACACTAATGCTTCCACAGCTTGAAAGAGCCCATCACGCAGCTCAACGCGATACGTTGACGATATACCATTCCATTTAAAACTAAAAAATTGCGCTAGTTTTTGCCATATGTTGGACAAACTAACCGAATGATTTCTTCCAACAAAATCCACCCCGTGTGTCGAAGCACGGAAAGTTCAGTCGCAATTATCTGAAATGCCAATTGTGCTAGATTTTCTGCAGGACCTTCCTTGAGTTCTTCGATGACCTGAAAAACTAAGGTAACTTTAAGCGCAATTCAATTTTACGATATGACAAGTAACTATTAAGAGGGAAGGCGCCAAATTGCTGATGTCGACTATGCGATGATGTCACCATAGCTTTGAGGATTACGGGCTCAGATTTATATCGCAGCATGATCTAGTATATCTTATATATAAAGCTGAATGTCTGTTTGTCTGTCTGTCTGTATGTCCGTCTGTATGTCTGTACGTATGTTCCGAATAGAAAATTCCTAAATTTCTAAACCGATCCGGACCAAACTTGGCACACATACACTTCGGGCCCCGGCGGGTGTCATAGGCTACTTTTTGTCATCGATCGGATTTTATCGATTTTTTTGCAAAATTTGAGCTATGGGGCTGGGAGTTGGTACAGGGGGGTAATCGAGCATGCTGATTACGAATAAAATAATGACAGGCCCGGGCGGAGCCGGGTAAGCCATCTAGTGTTCAATAAAAAGCAATTTCAAGAATTCGAAAAGGCCTTCACTCAAAAAATGCGCAAGCCAAAGGAAGCAGACTAGTGGTTAGGGAAGATACAAAAACTTTCTAGACTTTCTCAACGTTTATACTTTGCACTGCAGCCGAAGAAACTCGAACTCTTCGTTAACCGTTTTATGCTGTGGTTGTAGTGGGTGCATACTTGCGATAGGGGGAGTGATGGATCTTACCCCCCTCACTTTGAGGCCAAACCCGAATGACCCCCTTCACCTGGGCTGAGACTGGTATTCTACTCTGAGAATATAAGATAAAAATCGTTATTAAAAGGTTTTGCAGGCTAAGTACCTCAAACAACAAGTACACTCATAAATCTACAAAAGAAACGCTATTTATGTTTATTCATATCATTTATTTATCAAAAAAAGCATCTACAGAAGCACAAACTCTTTCCGAGCATTCATAAATACGTCCCTGAGCGTTACAGTTCCATGAAAATTAATCAATCTTATTTTGGTAATATAATCAGCACTTCTTTGTATTGAAGCTATTATATCTCGCGGCACAGAAGACCTAGAAAAAAGCCGACGGTCTGCGTCGATTCTCCATAATCTCAGCTTACGAATGGTTTAAAGCATGTTGGGCTTCTTTGCTTCCCGGCTCTGAAAAGCACTTGCTCCGGTGACCCATAAAAGCCAACACATTGTAAGAGCGAGGTGGAGCAAACTAATAGTAAAAAATGTGCTTGACATCGTTATATCAGCACCAACGGGAACGTGAGCGAACGCGTCTGTTCAAGCGTGCTCATTGTTGTTATATGTTTATGTTTTTTTCTTAGTAAAAAATGCGCTTTTGATTGACAGTTATGCCATCATTATCAGCACACACTCAAAAAACTATGGGAGATTGGTGAATTTCCACACCTTCACACAAAAACCCGCCCATTTCTGGAATCTATACTCTGTAAACCTAGTGCTAAAGAAGGTCACTTTTGTAAAAACGCTCTAGACTCACCTCACCTAATTTGTAGAATGGTTGGCTTCAATGAATCAAAAACTTTGAGACATTCAGAAGAACAACATGTTATTAAAATATCCTTCAATGTTTTGGAAAGGTTGGCAGTTTGAAGAGGAAACGGCAGGCAGAATACTTTACAATATCGCAGATGACTCGCATGTGTTCCAGTTCAACAGCGAGGCAGAAGAAGAATATTACGCCGACGAAAATGTTGTCGATATTGATACAGAGTTGACAATTGAGCGAAACTCGCTGATTTCCTACATAAGGAATCCAAGCAAATTGCCTAGTTTCAATGAGGAAATGTTTAGGAAGTCCATTGCTCTTCAGGTTGCTGAAGATTTCAAGGCTGCTAAATTCACGAACATGGATGCGAACAAAAGGAAGGTGTTAGTACAAAGCATAGCTACTGCTCTTAGATCCCGGCTGGAGTACGAACCCAACTCTGTGCTTTATGCTTCTGGAAGTTTTTCACCTTGTGACATTATGACCTATGACATTGCAAAAAAAAACCAACGCGCAGCATAGTATCTATTTTTTTCGGCTATTCCGCAGATGCTGTTAAAGAAGAAGTTGAGCAGCTTTCTCATCAGCTAACAAGACGTATGCCAAAGGAGGTGAAGCCAGAGTTCGACAATGCCCAAAAAGTATGCAATATTTCCTTCCCGTGTTGCGAAAGCATATGCGATCTGGCTCTTTCCCCATTACTTACCGCAAAAATCTGATGGACTCACTAGCAAAGCTAGTTTCCATTCCGACTAGCACGGCAGAGGCGGAGAGAGGATTTTTTATCTACTCTGTTACCAGAACACAACGCAGAAGTCGCACAACGGTGGAGCATCTAAGCAACTACTTAAGGTTTGTCATCCTTCTGTTTAACATATTGTCATCTAAAAACTTCATTTAAAGGATTGCTATAAGTGGTCCAGACAAACTGTCATCGTATGACTTTTTAAAATACCCTAAAAGATGGTATGAAGAAACTGGTCACCTACCTGCTGACTTCCTGGTGCTACCAGAGGGCCAGGAAAAAAATTACAAAAGCGCTTAGGAGAAGAAGAACGTTTCAGATCCATTTTCGACTCAGAACGCTTTTGCACGCAATTCTACTTCTACTCCGATGACCTTTTGGAGGAAGAAGAAGATCTTTCAGGCAGCGAACTTGTTGTCTCTGACGTTAGCGATAGTGATATTATTGATGATGATGTAGGAATTGTAAGTTGTTCCTAACTTGTACATCTTTTCGGATAAACCTTATTGCTTTCTGTTGATGCAATGAAACAGGAGCACAGATCTTCATAAAATCACAATATTCAAACTTCAATTATGTAAGATACATTGGCGCAACATATTGCTAATACGTGACAAAGTTTGTTCAGATAATTTGTAACGCGTCCTCCTTATTCTGCCCCATCGCAAGCATGATCTAACAAAGGTACAAATTAGAGCTCTTCATACCACGCTTTCTTACCTTTTCTCTCTCCCCCCCCCCAGGCTCACATACCCCTTTCACCTAGAAAGTTGGAAACAGCCGAGACCCCCTTCACCTGGGGAGAGCCCGGCTCCTCCTATCGCACCTATGAGTGGGTGTCCGTACCATTTCAAGATAGAGTTGCCTTGCCAGAACTTCTCCCTTTACGAAATATAGCAAATAGTTTGCAAGAAAAGCACGCACGAGCATTAGCTTTATCTTCAGTTCTGAAATCCCAATGATGGATATTTTCCTTATAGAAAGTTTTCAAGACATAACAAAGTATCTGATCAACGCACCAAAATAAGTTTGGAACCGATTTAGACGTTTTCAGTCCCGCTTTTGCTTCTACAACTGATTTTCATCTGCTCTGCAGGCTTTGAAACTCAGGGTGCCTTAAAAGTGAGTACACACTTTCTACTCGTTTATAGCCTTTCCCACAACGTTTTTTGCTTAGCTTCACGTACCATTCTGTAGACTCACTTCAACTTAGATTTACAGTACAATGCAAATCCGGTCATCTTGATAAATGTAAAATTACGGGAGCGTTTAGCATACAGAGCCATTATGAAAAGCCGTTCGGAAAAAACCTGGTGTAGCAGTGTTTCCAGGCATGTTGACTTCAATAAACTTTTCAAAGATTTTCTAAGCTATTCAAATGCTTCAGGCACGTTTTAACAAAACACTGAAAAAAACGTTGCTGTGGTCTACCTTGCATAATCTCTGAAAAAAGTCTTACGATAAAGGGTGAATTTCATATTTATAGTCGACTTTAGCCTAATGACAATGTTTTCAGTGTTAAGTGTCCGGAAGCAAAAAGTAGCCATTGATCAAAGTTCCTATCGTAACTTTGCAGTAAGGAAGAGCGATGTGATTCACTTCATCGCAAATTTGAATTGGAGCCTATTCTACTGAATGTTATTTGCTCTGCAAAAGACTCTTTGGGAATAGAGTTGTTGACTATTACAAAATGTGTACCTACTTGCCCGGACATCCTGCATTAGGTTGGCTAAAAAATGAATCCGTTTTCTAAATGTTTGTAAATGTTACAATTTATGCATATCATTAGTTGAGGGATAAAAGACTCGGCATCTACAAGACCCTCTGCGGGCATGCGCCGAAACGCATTCTGCACCATAATCGAAGAAGCTAACAAACGTGCAGCACTTTCACACTGACTTGCGGTGGTGGCTAACCGATTACCAAGTCAGCGCTTTAAGACATTGACAACCACTTAACACACATGGTGTGTCAAAGCTTGAGACATGACTCTCATTAAAATGGTACTAATTTGTGTCTAACCGACTCTGGGAGATTTCTTTTGTGCTAGATCTAGATGCAACTCTACTGTTTTTGCTAGCATTCCAAAGCTACTGTAAGTGTACTATAGAGGAATTGTGCGTGATTTTATCTGAAAAATGTTGGCTGGTCCGAGAAAGGCTTTAGTCGTCGATGTGTTAATCCTCCCAGACTACTCTGGTACAAATTTACCGTCCCTAAATGGTACAGGGCTTGGTTGGCCTGGCGTGAGCAAACTATGTCCAACCTGGTCATAACGGCACATATCACTTCGCCACTCGTCCACTTAAAATTACGTTACTTGCAATGTTCCGTTGGCGGTTCAAAGCTCCGTACAGCGTTAATTGATCATCTCATCGATGAAAGCAAGCCGCAATATGGCAAAAGACCATATCGCGGCTTTATGCCATTTTGGGCTAAAGGCAGGCGATTATCTCGAAGTGCAAAGGACACTATGGCAGCCAGGAGACCTGTCCTCACCGAACCAAAGCAACACTCGAAGATGTCACTTTATGGTTGGTTGAAATTGTACCTTTATTTTCTGTACTAAAAACTAATCTAAAATCTCGGAGCAGCAACGACAATCATGTTGGAATTTTCAACCTTTTCAGAATTTCCAAAACTTGTACCTTTATTTTCTGTACTTCATACTACTCCCTCTACACTAATTCATAACCTCTAGAAAAATTTTATTGTCAGCGCAATCCTGCTTTGAACGTAAAGCGTGTACAAGGGAAGGATGGTCAGTCGATGTGCCTTTTGCGATTTGTACATCATTATGTAGTGCATAAAACGCTGATTCCGATAAAGGTGCGTGGCTAACGCTGGTACGCTTCCCGATTTCGCGGTCCCATAACTCCGAAATACCAGCAAAGGGGCTGGCGCTAGCTACGCCCCCGAAAAAATTTTGGAAATCTAAATTAAATTTCTCAAAAAAAATTTTCAAAATTTTTAGTTATTCACAAAAAGAACAAGTCATATGCACATTTTTATAACACATGTAAGTAACTTTCAAGAGTTTCATGAACCATTGGGATATACTGTCTTTATAATAAGTCCCTGCGCAAAATTTTTTAAGCTGATTTAAATTGTCTGTTAAACACGGTAACAAGCACAGGTACCTGGACACTGCCATTGAGTGACCCAAGCAGAAAGACAAGTAAGGAGTAGTGAAGACGCTGTAAAAAGAACAAAAGGACTTTGTAAAATCTTGCAAAAGGATTCTCTGGTTCCAGCTACCGAGCCCTGTGCAGAGATGTTCAAGTATTCCCCCACCCCCCCCCCCTTCCCATCCCTCTTGCCGCATGTCAACTTCCCTTGTGCGGTCTTTGGTACATTTTTCCAGAGCTTTTGCTCCATGAACTTTAAAGGCAGCGACTGACAAGGGAACCAGTCAATGTGGCGTTTTAGATGGGATGTATATCGTACTGAGAGCATAAACGTTGCTTCAAAATCTTTCTCATTTGCGGAATGTTTAACACATTTACGACCGCTTGACACACATGGTGTGTCAAGGTTTGACACACCATAACTCTTATTGAAATGGCTACTAAAATACGTTAAACCAACTCCGGGAGTTTTCTTTCATGTTGGACTCAAATACAACCTCTACTGTTTTTGCCAGCATTCCAGCGCTACTGTAGGTGTACTGTAGATGGAATTGCGCGTGATTTTATTTAAAAAATGTTGGCTGGTCCGAGAAAGGCTTCGGTCGTCAATGTGTTAAGGACGAGGAATTATGAGCTTTTATTAGAGCAAAAAATTGCATGTGCAAATAGGACAAAAGTTGTCGCATTTTTTTGTAACGCTTCAATATAGCAGTGATGATCATCAGAACACTTATTCAATGAATACTCTCAAATGAAAACTTAAGGGTTAGGAAGATCTTAGAACTCATTTTACCCTAAATTCACCGTATCTAATTTTTTGCCCCTATAAACGCTCATAACTCCTCGTCCTCGTCCACAAACGTTTCGCAAATAAGGAAAGTAGACTTGGAATCAGCGTTTTATGCTCTTTGATATACATGTCATCTAAAAAGTCCACTTCGATTAAACATGGTTCCCTTGTGAGCTATGCGATGGGCCTGTACGAGATTCTCTGCGCCAATTCAATTCAAACGCTTGCGAATTTTGCGTCATGGGTCTCCCCCATGTCATTTCGCGGATCTTATAAAAATGCTTACACCATTCCATGTGATGAAAAAATTACTTACCTGCGTGAACTTCATTCGGTCTTGATTCGAAGTTGAGAGGTCATGAATAGCGCGGATTGCCTCGATCACATCGGCCAACTCCATTCACAATCTTCCTGATGGCAGTAGTGCATGATGTGAGATATGGAACTACATGATGACCTGAGTCAAGATTGGGGTGTGGCATGTCACCCTGGTGGTTTCAAAGAGTCAGAAGAGAGGGATTAGCCTTGAGGTCGTTGATAATAAAAGTATGGTCCTTTCGGAAGAGGGACGGGGGGAGAAGTGACTTGGGATGGTCCACTGAAAATTTGCAAAGCATCCCAAAAACTTTTCTGGGAAGACGTGGCTGAAGCCTTGCCTTTTCAATCTTGAAATTGTCATAAATAGCTCAGAAAATATTTCTCGAACCGCCACTTTGGCAGATGTTAGACAGACAGATGGCAGACATAACAAAACCTTTTGATCGAGGTCTATTGGCACCGTCACGTGGCGTTATTTTTTTAAAGCGGTTAAAATTAAAGTTCATCACTTCGAGTAATTTTGACTGTCACCAAATCCACTATAGCTCGGTGGTCCCAAGGCTTTAGAACAGAAAATATAGCATTGAGTATCAGGAGACATATCTTATAAAGCTGAATGTCTGCTTGTCTGTATGTCTGTCTATCTGTATGTATGTGTGTACCTGTGTTCCGAATAGAAAATTTCATTTCTGAACTAATCCGGACCAAGCTTTGCACACATACACTTCGGGGCCGGGCGGGTGTCATAGGCTACTTTTCGTCATCGATCGAATCGATTTTATCGATTTTTATCTATTTTCTGCAAATGAGCTACGGGGCTGGGAGCAGAGGTGCGATAGTCGGAGCCGAGTCTCCGCCTACCTTCACTTTTGAGCTGGTACCAGGTGACCACCTTCATTTTTGGGTTTGAAAAATTTTTTTGCTGAAGCTTAAAAGAAGGAAAATAAGCAAAAGGAACGCAAAAGAAAGTAATGAGAGCATATATCTATGTAGTGGGTCAATCTAGGTAGTAACCGCAGAGAACCAGTATTTCGAATGACAAAATAGCGAAAAATCATGCAAAATTTCCACTGTTATAAATCTGGTGGTTGAATATGTCAGCAATTGCGACTTCATAGGTTTTGAAGAGTAAATGGTGCTCTATCAGAAGTGAAAAAATTAGGTCGATTTGAGCAGTGGCCGCCGAGGACGAGAATTTTAAAAAATTAAGCGATTTTAGGTTACTTAGTGACAGCTCAATTAAACTCATGCAAATCTTGAATGTGAAAAGTGTGTGACGTTGCGACTTCATAAGTTTTGTAGAGTAAGAATAGCTCTAACGGACTATGCCTTAGCCGTACCGATCCATTGAGTTACCGCCGAGATCCAGGCTTTTGAAGAAACAGGTAAAAAACCGCTTTTTGAAATTCAACAACTCATAACTTCTTCAGAATTGCATGATTCATGTTGCGACTTCATAGGTTGGATTCTCCTCATCAAGAGACTTTCAGATGATATATGATATGTGAGGGTTTCGCGCTTCTCACGGCATATGTCCGAAGATGGAGACTTTTCACCCCAAAGCCTCCACTGGCGGTCTCCGGCTAATACATTAACATGGGCGAGGTGGAGACTTTGAGGTGAAAAGTCTCCACCCTGGGTCAGAGCCGCAAAAATCATTGAACTCCCCACATATTATATATCATCTGAAAGCTCTTGATGAGGAGAATCCAACCTATGAAGTCGCAACACGATTCATGCAATTCTGAAGAAGTTATCAGCTGTTGAATTTCAAAAAGCGGTTTTCATCTGTTTCTTCAAAAGCCTGGATCTCGGCGGTAACTCAATGGATCGGTACGGCTAAGGCATAATCCGTTAGAGCTATTCTTACTTTACAAAATCGATGAAGTCGCAACATTGCATACCTTCACATTCCAGATTTATGGGAGTTTAAACGTCAGCTGTCACTAAGTAACCTAAAATCCCTTAATTTTTCAAAATTCTCGTTCTCGGCGGTCACTGCTCAAATCGACGTAATTCTTTCACTATCTGGTAGAACAACACTTGCCCTTCAAAAGCTATGAAGTCGCCATTGCTGACATCTTCAACTACCAGATATATAACAGTGGAAATTTCGCATGATTTTACGTTATTTTACTATTCGAAATTCTGGTTCTCGGTGGTTACTGCCTGGATCGACCTACTTTATTCGCAGTCGTTATAGCAAAATTTACTTGATAAAGTATGTAAAGTCTAGCTGAGTTTTACTAACAAATACACCATTTGATAAGCACTTTATTTTAGGTATTCATGCCGTTGTATACATAAGAATATGCTTTCAATGATTCTTTTGCATTTGTTTTGCTTATTTTCTGCGCACTGGCGGCAACGACCTGGAGGATAGGCTCAGTCGACGCTAACGCTCCCCCCCCCTCCCCCCGCTTTTGGGAGGTGAGTGTCCGGCACTACCACCTTCACTTTTGGCCGGCCAGTGGTAGCTGAAACCACCTTCACTATTGGGGGGCCCGGCTCCACCTATCGCACCTCTGGCTGGGAGTTGGCACAGGGAGGTAATCGAGCATGCTGATTACGAATACAATATTAGCTTCTGAAATCGTCCATTACTTTTATCATTTTATCGGCTTTTTGCAAAGTTTGAGCTACGGGGCTGCGAGTTGGCAGAGGAAGGTAATCAAGCATGCTGATTACTAAAACAGCGGGAATAGTGAATTCGCATGCAGGCTTGGGCAAGGGAAAGGTTGTACTGTGATAGAGATGAGAGATTCTTTGACAGGGCCGGGCGGAGCCGGGTAAGCCAGCTACTCAGATAATCGCCGGGGGCAGGTGGCCATGCGATTTATAGGAGGGCGGGCACCGGAAAAATTGTTCGCAGATTTCTTGCGGTCCGCTTGCAGAATTTGGAAGAATTTTAGCGAAATTTTAGATGAATGCTTGGAGAACAATCGCGGCCTCCTTATAAATTAGCTGCGGCGCAGTGGCCGCATTCTCGCGGACTTTCCGCGAGAATATGCAAATTTTTCGAGGGCCGCACGGTCCTTTGTGGGGGACCGCGCAGCCCCTAGGTACTTTTCGCTAAGAGAAGGTACCTCAAACTTGAGTAATTAAACCAACGGTGACACGTCTGCCAAACAGAGTCTTACCTGTGCACGACGTAAGCCCGAAACTCCGTGAAAAGAGTCCGAGCGCCTGCTGAAAGTTTGGCCAGCGTTTGCTGAAAGAGATTCTTTGACGAGCGCCTGCAGAAAATTCTGTGTTGCTGACCGCTTGCAGAAAAGCGCGAGTTTGCGGACCGCCTACCCCCGGCGATTTCCTGAGTAGTTACTTATACTTTCATCAAGGTAATCAAATAAGCTCACCTTAACAGCTGCTTTCTGATAGTGCTTTTTCTCTACCCATACATATGCAAATTACTTCAATTTTCTCATTTTCAAAAAACTATGGGCCAAAACATGATTTTAGTCTAAAAATCTGCGCCAAACACCGCACTTTTTCAAATAAAGTGCCTTTTTTATATGAAATGGGCAAATTTTGAATACTCAAATAATCATTAGAAAGAGCTTGGAAAGCTCTTTCGAATGGTATGCCATATGTTGAGGGACTTTCAGGTGCAGCCACAAATTCGGACGTCGTTCAAATAAGTCTGTCTGACTTCTTTGAAGCGCCCTCGAAGGAATTTCGGTGAGGTGCTGCAAGGTGCTGTCAAGATAATCTGCGAGGGTCACTTTATGCAAAACCGCTCAAATTGCTGGTTACTCACAGCTACTCAGAAAGAGATCTTGAAGTTTGTTTAAAAAATCAAGGTGCCCTATTGTTTTGGACTAGCTGGCTTACCCGGCTCCGCCGTATCCGGCAAACTTGGCACACATACACTTCGGGCCCCGGCGGGTGTCACAGTCCACTTTTCGTTATCGATCGATGTCGATTTTCCCGATTTTTATCGATTTTTTTGCAGAGTTCACCTACAGGGCTAGGAGTTGGCACAGGGGGGGGGGGAAGTGAGCATGGGGATTCCGAATACAATATTAGTTTTCAGAATTATCGATTACTTTTATTGATTTTATCGATTTTTTGTAAATTTTGACATGCGAGGCTGGGATTTTGCACAGGGGGGTAATCGAGCATGCTGATTACGAACACAATATTAGTTTTCAGGATCGTCCATTACTTTTATCGATTTTATCGACTTTTTTTGTAAAGTTTGACCTGCGGGGCTGGGAGTTTGCACAGGGGGGTAATCGAGCATGCAGATTACGAATACAATATTAGTTTTCAAGATCGTCCATTACTTTTATCGATTTTATCGATTTTTTGAAAATTTCTAGGGGGCTGGGATTTGGCAGGGGGGTGTAATCGAGCATGCTGATCACCCCCCTTGGGGGTGATCAGCATGCTCGATTACCCCCCTGTGCCAACTCCCAGCCCCCTAGCTCAAACTTTGCAAAAAAATCGATAAAATCGATAAAAGTAATCGATAATCCCGAAAACCAATATTGTATTCGGAATCCCCATGCTCGATTACCCCCCTGTGCCAACTCCCAGCCCCGTAGGTGAACTCAACAAAAAAATCGATAAAAATCGATAAAATCGATATCGATCAATGACGAAAAGTACCCTATGACACCCGCCCGGCCCCGAAGTGTATGTGTGCCAAGTTTGATCCGGATCGGTTTAAAAATAAAAATTTGTATTCGGAACATACGTACATACATACAGACATACAGACAGACAGACATACAAACAGACATTCAGCTTTATATATAAGATCACTTTGATAGTTGTAACGAACGGAAATTTTCATTGAATGAACGAATATCAAATAAGTGAATATCGAATATTTGATTTTTGAAAAATTTGCGAATAAACAAACTTACTCGATTCTCGATTTTTATATTATTCGAATTCGAAGGTTCGAATATGAGCACATTCCAAAATTTGAATTTTTGAATATTCAAATGACCGAACTTGATCGGATATTCGACTATTCGAATAAGCGAATAAATGGATATCATCGGACATTCGAATATTCGCATGCAATATTCAATATTCAAACGCAGTAGTCGGATATTCGAATATTCGAAGTCGAATGTATAGTATTAGGTCATTTCATAAGTTCGTAGAGTTTTGATTTTCGTTCTTGATTCTTTGAGGAACGGTTGATTTGCGGTAAGACGCGTATATTATCGAGACGAGCTCATCATGTTCTTCAAAACGGACTAGTTATTTTCTATGAAAAGCTGACTTGCTTTGATTTCTCACCTTCTTAAGAAGAAATTCTCAAAAGCAAAAAGAAGCATTTTCGGCACTTGCTCTTTTTTCTTACTAGCTGGCTTACCCGGCTCCGCCGTATCCGGACCAAACTTGGCACACATACACTTCGGGCCCCGGCGGGTGTCACAGTCCACTTTTCGTTATCGATCGATGTCGATTTTACCGATTTTCATCCATTTTTTTGCAGAGTTCACCTACAGGGCTAGGAGTTGGCACAGGGGGGAAGTGAGCATGGGGATTCCGAATACAATATTAGTTTTCAGAATTATCGATTACTTTTATTGATTTTATCGATTTTTTGTAAATTTTGACATGCGAGGCTGGGATTTTGCACAGGGGGGTAATCGAGCATGCTGATTACGAACACAATATTAGTTTTCAGGATCGTCCATTACTTTTATCGATTTTATCGATTTTTTTTTGTAAAGTTTGACCTGCGGGGCTGGGAGTTTGCACAGGGGGTAATCGAGCATGCAGATTACGAATACAATATTAGTTTTCAAGATCGTCCATTACTTTTATCGATTTTATCGATTTTTTGAAAATTTCTAGGGGGCTGGGATTTGGCAGGGGGGTGTAATCGAGCATGCTGATCACCCCCCTTGGGGATGATCAGCATGCTCGATTACCCCCCTGTGCCAACTCCCAGCCCCCTAGCTCAAACTTTGCAAAAAAATCGATAAAATCGATAAAAGTAATCGATAATCCCGAAAACCAATATTGTATTCGGAATCCCCATGCTCGATTACCCCCCTGTGCCAACTCCCAGCCCCGTAGCTCAAACTTTGCAAAAAATCGATAAAATCGATAAAAGTAATCGATAATCCCGAAAACCAATATTGTATTCGGAATCCCCATGCTCGATTACCCCCCTGTGCCAACTCCCAGCCCTGTAGGTGAACTCAGCAAAAAAATCGATAAAAATCGATAAAATCGATATCGATCGATGACGAAAAGTAGTCTATGACACCCGCCGGGGCCCGTAGTGTATGTGTGCCAAGTTTGGTCCGGATCGGTTCAGAAATGGAATTTTCTATTCGGAACATACGTACATACATACAGACAGACAGACATACAGACATTCAGCTTTATATATAAGAAGATTGAAAAAAAAGCGTTTTGCCGATTATGGAAGAAGGCGTTTTTTCGTCAGTATGAGACAAAAAAAGGGATTGGATTGCTTGAAAAACCAAGAGTTTGCAGAATGTCACATGAACAAGACTTTTTGCAGGATGGACAGGAGGTTCTGCACGAGTTTTGCTAGGCAAGAACAAGACGGCCGTCCATACGGTATGCAACCCAACTGCACGTCTAAACTAAACCTTACTGCACAAAAAGCCTAATAAACAGGTCCAGTAAGCTGTTTTGCGCGATAAAATTTGGTCCCCTACGGCAACCGTCATCATAGCTGTCCTGCAAGACTTGACGGGAAGTACATTAGTATTCAATGCAACCCTGAGATCTCGCTCTAGCAAACTGTTCCAGTCCCTCTGTTCCAGGTCACCGATCATGTGGACGGCGTTTATTTTGTTTAAAGGCGATCTCAGGCGCTGGTTAGACGATTTTTTTGGGACCAGTGCTGAGTTTAAGAACGGAACTGAAAATCTGATGGCATGGTGGTAGAATGCTGTGCGCAATACCTGAACAAACATTCTCAGACAGTCGACGGCATACCTCCGGAGCAGAAATGGCAGAGCCGCGGGGTTTCCCCAGCGGGGGTTTGCCACTCGTGCTCCGGAGCCCTCCCATTTTGTGCTCCGGAGACCTCCCATTTATGCTCCGGAGTCCTCCCATTTTGTGCTCCGGAGCCCTCCCATTCTGTGTCCCTCCGGAGACCTCCCATTTGTGTTCCGGAGCCCTCCCATTTTGTGCTCCGGAGGTGTCCCAAATCTGGCGTACCTCCGGAGCGCAAATCTCTACTCCGGGGCTCCTCCAAATCTGGCGCACCTCCGGAGCAGAGATTTGTGCGTCCCGGAGAGGGGACCCATTCGCCTGCTTGTGACGTCACCGTGACCTACAAGAAGGGACCGCCCCCTCGCCCCGCTCTCAATGGTCAATTGGGTCCTCCGCAGCTCTGCCAGATTTCGACTGTCCTCCGGAGCTACGGCACCGATTGTCTGAGTTGTTGGATGGATTTTGCTGAAATTTTGTCATTTCGTGGTCAATTTATAAAAACTCTACAAACTTATGAAACAACCAAATACGGACTACTTGCATAGGTCCTTTTTGTAACTTTTCAATTTTCTTAAGCCATAAATAGTTCAGATTGAGTGGAAAGGCTTAATGTTCACTACAAAGTAAACCATGTTTGAGACTAGTACACATCGGTATCACATGTCTAGTGACCTCAGAATTTGCTAAAAGTTGGTGCAGCTGATTACGTAAATGGTACTGATTATGCTTGGTAGGACCTCTTTGTTGAGGTACAAGCCACAGCTATAGTTTTCGTCAGAAGATTCTTCTCATCGGTGCTCCCGGCGTGCACACGCAGCGCGCGTCTCGGCTTGGAAGGCACTGCTCATTCAAATACTGAACGCAAAGGGACCGTCCATCGAAAATTTTGGTGAAAACTATGATGGTATATGATAGTGGACCCCTAGCTTACGCAAATGCCCAGTTTCGCCGCAAAAAATTACTTCCGCAGCGGTAAATCCGCTTCGAAAGGAGCAGAGGGGTCGTCACTCCCCCATGTGGTCATCCCGCCCATTTCTCAGACAATCGCCGGGGGCAGGCGGTCCGCAAACTCGCGCTTTTCTGCAGGCGGTCAGCAGAATTTTGGGGCGTGGCCAAACCTTCAGCGAGCGGCACTTCCTTACGGTCGTTTATTCTGCCAGCGGGCAGCAATACAGCATTTTTTGCAAGCGCTCGGCAAATAATTTAAGCTTCAGCGAGCGCTGGCCAAACTTTCAGCAAGCGCTTGGACTCTTTTTACGCAGTTTCGGCTGTACGTCGAGAAAGATGAGACTATGTGGCAGAGGTGCATCGATGTTTATTACCCAAGTTCGGGGTACCTTCTTCCAGCGGAAGGTACTCTAGGCAGCCTGGTCCTTTATAAAGGACCGTGCGGCCCACAACAATTTTGCATATTCTGGCGGAAATTCCACGAGAATGCGGCCACTGGGCCGCAACTTATCCATAGAAAAACCGCAATAGTTCTCCGAGCGTTCGTCTAAAAATTGGCCAACATTATTCCAAATTTCTGCAAGCGGACCGCAAGAAATCAGCGAACTACAGTCTGCCCCAATCCTAACCAGGCCAAAACTGGCTCGGCGGGAGTGCGCGTCGCGAGGGTATCGCGCCACCTCTGCGTCTAGCTAGTCTGCTCTCTCCTCAATCTCTTCGCTCTCTGCGACAGCGCGCGTATGCAGCGCAAACCCCTAGCGCTGCGAGCGCGCAAATTCAGCCTACGGTTCGGCCTGATCCCGATTGGGCAGACTGTATTTTTCCGGTGCCCGCTTGCTCAAAATTCGCATGGCCGCCTGCCCCGGGATTATCTGAGTTAGAGATTTGCCATTGGCCGTTCTGACGTGGCAAAGCTCTATCGCAAATGTTCTGACCTAAATAACGATTAAAACTCGTCTTTAAGCCTCAGGCACGGGAAATTCATCAGACGACATGTTCGCGAACGCGGGCAGAGCCAAAGCGAGACAGTCGCGTGGGACTGGAGCCGCTCGAGTCTGCTTCACTCCAATGAGAAGAGGGCAACTTGCCTTCTAACTCTTTTTGAATCCCTTAACTAAGCTTGGAATGCATCAATTATGGAGTTGGGAAAGTATGACGGCTCATTTACTTGGGGTGGAGGACTATATGTCGCCGAATCTGGAAGAGTCCCGCGCGGATTCCCTGCAGGAACGCATGTCCGCGCATGTACAAGGGTGCGTATTTGTCGCAAATGACCGCGGGGACCGCCCTTTTTCGGCGACATATAGTCCTCCACCCATTTACTTGCCCTTAAAGTCTCGGTGTTGCAGATACAAGCTTGCATATCATGACAAAAAACCTAGTCATCCTTTTACCTAGGTTGTCCAAGAAGGTCTGGAAAGTAAAAAAATGATGAGGATATTCTATTTTCGCTCTTTCCAATTTAGACGGGTTTGATGTCACGTTAGAACAAACTGCTCGCGAACGCCCGGGAAGGTCGAACTGTTTATGTCATTTTTTCTTGCTCCATTGTATTTGTGATTGTTTTCCATTAAAAATGCATGGTATGCAGCGCGTGCGTGGGCATGAGAATACCAAGTGGAAATCTCATAACACAGACTATGAAGAAAGGTGCATGTTGTACTTACGTAAACTTCAAAGTGGGAAAGGAGATGCGAAGCAAAGAATGCTTGTGTTTGAGGCAAAAGATTGCAACAAAAAACAACAGAACATCAGCAGCTTAGTTTTCAACTTCGTTCGTCAAGTGAATTCAAATGCTAACGCGTTTTACGTGGAGTTTATGTAGCTCTGAGAAAGGATTCCGCTCCAGTTAGAATTTCCGCGGCTGCCGTTGCACGCGAGCGTCTACACATTCGAATTTTGCAGAATGAAAACGTTTTTGCAGTGGTTTTCTTTCCAGTTTTGAAGAATAAATTATTTAATAGTTTTAACCATTCCTTTAAATGACACTTCTTTGTAGCTATTTTTGCAAGGTATCAAATAAAGATTGAACTCTTCTTCTATAGAGATGGTGGCCAAAACAGCAGCCAAGGCTCAATCATCCATCGTGACTGTGGATGCTTTGCAGAAGGAAACAATCACTGAGGTTGTCAAAATATCAATTTTATCACAAGATACTAGTTAAGGTTTTTTTTTTCTTCAGGTCGCTTACAAATTTTGGGCACCTTTCTCAAAAACTCATGCTGCCTACTCAGCTCCATTGGTTGACACAATTTACCAGCATGAAATGATCGCGACGCATTTTAATCCGCGAAAAATCATTATGCTAGAGTTCAGGTAAGATTAGAGCCTATTGTTATGTTTCGTCTTATCCGGATTTTTGCCACTTTTCACAAAAATGCTTTTGATTTTCACTGCTCCAGTTCAAACTTAGTTAAATCGCTTAACATTGCGGTAATTCGAGCTTTTAGTCAGTATCTCGAATGCTACCTGTGGCCCAACTATACCGAAGAAGCTAGTGTTGCGCACGTTATGTCGATACTGATTATGCTCAATGAGAAGTTTCGGGAGCGCATAGACGCATGGCAGGTAATAGTTACTCAGTCTAATATTTTCTCTGTTAGTTTAAGCTCTTTCGGCTAATTTCTATGATTTGTTCAGGTAGCAAACAAATTGTCTTTTCAGTGTTTCATCAAGAAGCCTGAACACTTTCCTGGATTCATTCATCGGGTATTGAAGTTATCGCTTGACGAAACTTCACGAAGTAGCGCCGAACAGTGTGCAATCATCACTTTCCTCGTGAATAGTTTCAACTCTGTGGTGAGGCATTCACTAGTTTCTTTGGGCACTCGAACGGATATTTTATATGTTTTTGCTCGATTTTATCATTTTGTCGTACTGAGTATGAAACTATGCTTTTGAGCTCATTGCAATCTTCCTTACATGGAAATTAACTAGGAAGTGGTCAGAACTTAACCCAGCCATTCCAAACAGCTGTGTATCATTGGACTCACCTTGAAACGTGATTTCAAATATAGGTTTATTATCTGCCGAACCACTATCTCGAAGGAAATATGAGCGTCTAAATGTGAGAAATTATCTGAGTTCCAACCAATACAGTTCGTTTAATGGCAGCCTGATGGCGTGGATCGTGGCTATGATTATTCTTTTTACAAGGAAGAAAAATATTCACTAAAAACCTGAAAAGGTATTTCTGAAACGTACTTCGTGGAACGCGCGCCACAGAACACTCGACAAAGCGCACATTCAAACGCTCGTAACTCCTTCCATATAGTCGTTCGGCAGATAGTTAGCATAATTAGAGATCAGCTTTTCAAGGTGAGTGCGATGATATATATGTTTTGTATGGGGTTGGTTGGGTTAATGACCATTCCCTGCGAGTTGGTCATGTTTATGGGGAGCCTGCAATCCGTTGGTTTAGGGGCTAATTTGCTTTAGCAAGTACTTCATATCTAGAGTGGAATTTCGCGCTCAAAGCACTGTTGTAGATTCCACAAGTTCAAAAATCACAGAATTACTCAGTCTCGTGCACACTGCTTCATAGCCACTGTAAATCACATTTTCAGGAAGTGGATATTGTTCGGGAGCAGATGAATAAGCTTACCCACATGTCAATCTGGACGAATTTGCTGCCGAGTCAAAGAGATGACATGTTTGGAGGCAGCAAGGTGCGTTGATACGAAAATCTGTTAACTATTCTTTTGTTACCATCATCTTTTTTAAATATAAGTCTGTCAGAGAATAGACGATTTGTATTGCAGAAGCTGCGAAAATATTGGGCGCACCTGTCTCAAAAGCTTGCCGCGCAAGATGCGGAGGACACTGAAGAATCACGCAAAGCGCAGTTTGAGCGAAATTACCTGTGGAACCTAATTGCTCGATTCAAACGCACTCTTGATCGAGTGGACGATGAATCAAAAGGTTAGTGCTGGAATCAATCGTAACTCATCTTTCATACTTGAACGATTATTTTAGAAGTTGATTTGGAGGATATTCGATATTGTGAAAGGTTTATCGAGCTTGTCATCGATCTCGAGGCCCTTCTTCCCACAAGGTTTGCTTTCAAGATTCTCCCTTATCTAAATTTCTGTTTCTTTCTTAGGAGGTTTTTCAATGCACTTTTGCATTCTTCGAAGTTAATAACCCATTGCGTGCTTTCGAAACTGATCTCGTCTGAAGCGGGCTCTCTGTTTTGTCAACTGGTCGAAATGCTGAAATTCTATGCACGATTCGAAATCAACGACATAACTGGTCAACAGCTGACCAATAAGGAGGTGTGCTTTTTTTGACATTTGAAGGTTCGGGTTGTTGACGGATTTAAAAACTTCGTTGTTTAGGTTTCCGATAGACATTACGAGCACATGGTGAAGTTGCAGAAAGCAGCCTTCAAATATTTCAGGTAATCTTATGTTCAAAGTCTTGTCTAATCTCATATTTTTTCGGTTCAGGGAAAGCATGCCAGACTTCTACCTTTTGAGTGTAGGAAGTGTTGACTCGAGGAAATCCTTGCTGAAGCAGTTTGGATCAATGAAGTATGTGAATACGCATTTCCTTCTATTATCTTTCTCTGTCACATCTGTAGTTTTCTTGAGAACATTGTTATGGTCTCAGCTCTGAAAACGCTGCTTTTTTTTAGAAAATCCGAAATTTACCGCTTTGCTGAGTACCTACATCTCGTTCCACCAATGGATAGCGAAGAGTCACAACTGGAAGCGTATTCCAAGGAGTTTTTAACGGAGACCATCGTGAGTAACCTGTTGCATTTTGGAAATTTCATCTTTGTTTTTCTATTTTTGCTAAATGGTTAAATTATAATCTTGAATAGCTGTGAAGTTTTGTGGATGAAAATGTTCTTCTAGACCCTTCACTGTGAACGACGAGTAAATCAACTGCAGCAACTCAACGAACAGCCCTTGTATCCAACCGAACAGGTTATCTGGGATGAGAATGTTGTACCATATGAAAACTACTCCGGCGAAGGTTATGTAAACACCTTTCTACAAAGTCGATTTATTCGAGCATCAACAACTTCAAGTTTTAGGCGTCCTAGCCTTGAACAAGCTGAATCTGCAGTTTTTGACGCTGCATGACTACCTGTTGAGAAACTTCAACCTTTTTCAGCTTGAATCAACTTGTAAGTGATGTCCACTTCTTGCAATTTTTCATATGGAAACTTTCAACAATGCTCGCTATGTAGTAGTTTTTTTTTCATTGAAACTGATGAACAATTACTCTATCTTAGATGAAATCCGGCAAGATTTGGAAGATGTGCTGTTCAGAATGAAGCCATGGCGACATGAGAGCCGAAATGAAACTGTGTGGGGTGGATGGGCTCGAATGGCTCTACTTTTGGATTCATTTCAGATTGTTGAAGTGAGTTTTCTGATTTCTCGCTTTGCATCCTATGGAGTATTTTCTAAATGATTTCTTTTGACACCTCAACAGTTGCTTTCGAAATCGTCTATATCTGTATTCATTTGCTTCTAATCTGCCGTCATTCATGCTTGTTTTTTATTATGCATTCACATCAGCAACATATTTTTAAGGTTGGAAAACCATTCGTCGGCGACAAAAGTCCATCTGTAGTAAAAGGAGAATTTGCTGTCAACGTGGGAAGACGGGTCGACATCAGACAAGAATGGGAAAGTGAGTTCATTTTTTTTTCGGGTTCAATTTCGCCTAAATTCAGCTGCTCCGTCATGTTACATATGTACGTTTGCGTCACCCTGTCGCATGGTTTAGCTATTGCATCAGCATGGTGCAAGGGCACGCGCGGGGACGCGTACCCTCATTCGATGCACTTGTGCCTCATGCTTCTCTTCTACGTCGTGGCTGTTCATGAATATTGTTAAAATGTGGGTTTTTAGGTCTCAGGAAACACGATGTGTGCTTTTTGGTCACTTGTCGATCGACTCAACCTGTTGGTACAAAGTATGACGTCAGAAAGCCATTCAAGGATCAGATGCAGGTAGCTTCAGGATTCGCCATCCTTTTGAAAACCCTTCATTTTTTCTCAGGTGACGTATGTTCGTGGATGTGAAATAGAAGGAATGCTGGGGCAAGATGGACAAGTTATAGAAGAGTTTGGTTAGTTTTTTTCTGCATTTTTTGGATTCTCGATAGATTTCTGCGCTTATTTCGCTCTATCTTGTCTGTCTATTTTTCTTAGGCACCCGCCATACTTGATCCACTTGATCCGCTTGATCCGCTTGATCCGCTTCGTGCAAAACGCGCACTCAGCAGTCGTCATTTGGCGCCGCGTACAGCGAATTTGCTTAAGTATACGAAATTCCTTTTTACCTACGCGGCGCCAAATGACGACTGCTGAGGATCAAGCGGATCAAGTGGATTGAGCGGGGTAGAGGACTATATGTCGCCGAAAAAGGGCGGTCCCCGCGGTCATTTGCGACAAATACGCACCCTTGTACATGCGCGGACATGCGTTCCTGCAGGGAATCCGCGCGGGACTCTTCTAAATTCGGCGACGTATAGTCCTCCACCCGATTAAGCGGATCAAGAGGATCAAGTATGGCGGGTGCCTTAGCACCAGCAGAATGTAAGGTGTAGGTCAACACGTATGGGAATCGTTTTCGCGGTCAAGCGGTCCATGCTGCGGCTATGTTTTTGTTCAAAATGATATTTTTTGTTTGAGAATCGTACGAAAAGAAACCACAAGTACAAGGCGACATAAGAAAGTTCCGTGTTTTTATGGATCCAAATCAATACAGGATTGATATGGAAAACAGAGTAGAAAAAGGAGCAGAGGTATCGTTTCAAAATCTTTTTCTTTGTGCAGTGTTGCACTCCTATCTCCCCTTTGGGTGTTAATTGGCTGAGTGCAATTTTCAGGACGTATACTACACTTTCAACTTGGTAATAAGACGTGATCCGAAGACCAATAATTTCAAAGCTGTTCTTGCTACTATGCGACAGTTACTGAATACCGAATGTGTAGTACCGGACTGGTTGACTGACGTTGTATTGGGGTATGGTGAACCCGACTCGGCACACTACTCAAAGTGAGTCTTCGTCATTTGTGGTCTGAAACTCCATCTTGTGCCAATTTATGGATGGAATGCGCATTGTAAACTCTTTTTTTAGAATGAATAACGTAGTACCCACTATGGACTTCAATGACACTTTTCTGTCGTTCGAACATCTAAAGGAGTCCTTCCCTGGTTACCGAATTGTTGCGAAGGCTGAAGAAGAGAAGATGTTACCGCCATTCCAGTATGTTATCTTATTGGGGGTCCTTCCAAACTTACGCTAAAATCGCTTGCCAAGGTTGACCTTCAAAGACCTCATCCGTGGAGGAGAAGCAGAGGATGAAAAAGTGATTGAAGTAACGCCTCTGGTGCGAGAGTCCCGAACACCTTATCCCATTTTTCCCAACAAAAACAAAGTGAAATTCACTCCTGCACAAATTGAAGCAATAAAAGTGAGTATTGTGTTTGCTGCATCACAAATTGTAGTCGAATCTTACTCTTTAGGCTGGTATGCAGCCAGGCTTGACAATGGTTGTGGGTCCTCCTGGTACGGGTAAGACTGACGTAGCAGTTCAAATCATTGCGAACATCTACCACAATTGGCCGCAGCAACGCACTCTGATCGTTACGCATTCCAATCAAGCATTGAATCAGCTTTTTGAGAAAATTATTGATTTGGATGTTGACGAGAGACATTTGCTGCGTATGGGTGAGTTCTTGATACTCTCGCAGCAGATACATTGGTGCTGTATTTTGCATTATAAAATTGCCTTTCAGGTCATGGAGAAGAAGGCCTCGAAACGGAAAAGGACTTTTCTCGGTATGGTCGTGTGAATCATGTCCTTAAGGAACGATTGAGGTTGTTGTCCGAGGTAACGTTTTGATTGTGCTTATATTTGAATTAATACGGACTTAGAAGAATTATGCTTTTCAGGTGGAAAGACTACAAAAAGCGATGAATGTGTATGGTGATGTATCGTACACTTGTGAAAATGCTGGCCATTTCTTCCGTTTCACGGTAAAGCTCTTATTTCTTGGTTATGTTTCAAAAGTGTGAGGAACACATGCCTACAGGTCTGCCGCGCATGGGATGATTTTATCGAACAATGTAGCGTAGAAAAGGACGGAATTGTTGCCGAGACGTTCCCATTCACTGGATACTTTTCTGATATCGATCCTCTGTTTAGTGTGAGTTCTACAAATCTAGCGTTTTTTGATGGAATATCTCGTAACCCTATTTTCACAGGGCTCCTATGCTGCTGATATGGAAACAGCGCGTTGCTGCTGGCGACATATAAACCACATCTTTGAGCAGCTTGAAGAATTCCGTGCTTTTGAGTTGTTGAGGAATGGAAGAGACCGGACTGAATATCTATTGGTTGGTAGTTTACATCTGCTCAAGTTTTCTGTTTGTGTCATCCCCTTGTGTTACAGGTGAAAGAGGCAAAGATCATTGCTATGACATGCACACATGCTGCTTTGCGAAGAAATGAACTGGTACAACTAGGTTTTCGCTATGATAACATTCTTATGGAAGAAGCCGCTCAAATATTAGAAGTAGAGACATTTATCCCTCTTCTGCTGCAGGTATTTCGCCATCTTTGAAGAAAACCAAAGTAAATAGATATGATTATAGAATCCACAAGATGGGAGAAATCGCTTGAAGAGATGGTGCATGATAGGAGATCACCATCAACTGCCTCCTGTTGTTCAAAATCAAGCTTTTCAAAAGTATTCGAACATGGAGCAGTCATTGTTTGCTAGATTTGTGCGGTTGGGTGTGCCAAATATCCAGCTAGATAGGCAGGGAAGAGCTCGCTCAGAGTGAGTAACACTTCATTTTTTTGAATTTTTTGCCGGTTGTTTGCATGCTTTTTCATTCGAAATTTTTGCACTTCGCATCTGTTGTGTGGCTGGTTCATTGCAAGATCTAAACTAACGGATTTTCTTTCAGGATTGCTGCTTTGTATAGCTGGCGATATAAGGAACTTGGTAATCTTCCCCATGTGGAGGCCTTACCACAATTCCAGGTTAGTATATTCGTGGTATTCATACACTTTCATACAGGTGAATTTTAATTTTAACTCTTACGCATGTCCATTTATCTTTCAGGCAGCAAATGCAGGCTTCGCATTCAATTATCAGCTCATTGATGTGCCAGATTTCAACGGGCAGGGAGAATCACAGCCAAGTCCATACTACTATCAGGTGAGTTTTCCTCAGTTACCGAAATACATCAAGAGCTCTCTAGGTTTTGCGTCATCACGAATCTATAAATTTCTAGAATCTGGGTGAGGCTGAATATGCTGTTGCTTTGTTCACCTACATGCGAATAATTGGATATCCTGCTGATAAAATATCCATCATAACTACCTATAACGGTCAAGTAAGTTTGCATATTCTATTTACTCGCTTAAATGTTTGAAAATTCAAACGAACTACTTATAGGCGCAGCTTATTCGTGACGTAGTGGCACGAAGGTGTGCAAATAATCCGCTTATAGGGGTTCCAGCAAAGGTAGATTCATTCTTCAGTTCCCTTGTTTTTTCTCATAGAGCATATTATAGATCTCAACTGTTGACAAATATCAAGGCCAGCAGAATGATTACATCATCCTGTCACTTGTACGAACATACAACATTGGACACATTAGGTATGGTATTATGGTATTCATACATTTTATCTTACATTTCGTCCTTTTGTTGGCATTGTTTTGCTTGTTTTTTTTTTCAATCTGTTCATTCTTTATATATAAATGCTCTTTACAGGGATGTTCGACGTTTGGTAGTAGCCCTCTCTCGTGCACGTCTTGGTTTGTATGTTCTCTGCCGAGCTAATCTCTTCAGAAATTGCTTCGAACTTACGCCGGCTTTCAACATCGTGAGTTTTCTTTCCAAAAAATTTGATAATGATTTGTTACGTTCTGTTTTTGTTAAATATAAGCGTTTGAAAATGACTAGCCGATGCGCTTAGAGGTCACGTGGCTCAAATTGCTATCATATCGTTGAGTAGGAACTACCAAACAAATTGTTGTTTCAGCTATGCCAACGACCACCAAAACTGTTGATTATCCCAAGCGAGCCGTACCCTACGCAGAGAAAGGTAACCATATGATACCTTTTTTCAACTGTGATTCAGACATTCTTTAGTGCGGAGAACGTGCGGAAGGTGAACCGCTCTCAATTGAGAATACAGTCCACATGTCCACATTCGTACATGACTTCTACATGAGCAACATGGAAACGATGCGTGCTAATTACGAAAGAGCCATGGAGTTGTACAAGCAGCAGATGAAGGTATAGGCGTTTCCCATGCGTGTAGCGGGCGTGGCCTGCAGACATTTGAACACGTTAAAAAACTTGTTGAACCTCCACTCTAAAGCATTAGTTTTTGTACTCTCTAGCTGCCAAAAACTGCCACGCGCATACGTTGGCAAACGTCGGCAAAGCTCCGCCCGCTATACTGTGGGGAAAGGACAATATCTAAGCTGTTGACTGTTTGCACCCGTGCTATCTAACTAATGCAGTTTATTTGTGTAGATAAACCTCCCACAACCTGAGGAACCAGAAGAACCTGTTATGTCTGAAGCTGAGCGAAAGAAGGAAGAAGAGAAAGCAAATGAGGAGAAGGAACAAGAGCAGCAACAAGAAAGTGCCATTACGTTTGAGAGTATGGACTTTGAGAAGCTTGAAGAAGTTCCAAAAATCTGAATGTTCCCAGCAGAATGTTGATGATCTCAATGTATTTATTGCTCTTTTTGCGGTACCATACCGTGTGTTGTTGATTTCTCACACTTTGTTATAAATATAACTTTTTTCTGTTGTTATAGATAAGATTCTGTGTTCACTGTTTTTTTTTCTTGAAAAAAAGAACCTTGAAAGAGAACTCGATAGAGTCACCCTTGTTTTTTTTGTTCAGCTCCATTGTTTGAGAATTTTGCGTGTATAATAGTTCTTTTCTATCTGACTGGTGATTGTTAACCATTGTTGTATGTTCCGCGTTTCGGTTTTGCAAAAAAAAAACATTCAAAAGTATCCTTGTTTTTTTGTTCTGAAAAGCGTTAATATACGCTGTGATTTTTAAGACGTCATTTTCACTGTGATTCGACGCCATCCATCTGCGGATGTAAGGACTCATATTATCACTCTTTAGCTCCAACTTCTTATACACTCTTGCCATTGAATACATTTATTGCATCATCAATCAAATCGTTTTTGAGCAAAGTTATCTCTCTATACAATACAAAGTCAATTACAAGAGATCAAAAGAATTATCACATCGAATCATTTTCTGAGCATACTGAGAGTGAAGGCTTCTCTTCTGCTGCGATTTGAAATCTTTGAGGTGCAAAGTTGGAGGAATAGTAAGGAGTCTGAAAGAGGGAGCATATAGGGGTTCCCATCATTTTTAATTCTGTAGCTATCTTTGACAAGCAAAAATAAGTGCAGTAATTCCTTTTTACATTTATCTAGATACCACTGCCTGCATTCTTGATATTTTTTATCGTTTTTAAAGCCGATTAAAAGTCTTAAGCAAAAATCGAATGCTTAAACAGATTAGAAACTTCTCTCTTTTTGGTTTGGTTGACATCATGAATGATTTTTCCCATGCTAAATGCTAATTCTAGTTTTTTTTGGCTTTTTATTGCCTCGCCTATAGTTTAGCACTATCATCATGAATCAGCTTACTTGTGAAGTCCAGTACAAATGTGGGTAGCCATTTTCATAAGCTTCAGAGCAGGTGGCTTGCATTTTCATTTGTAACGAAGATGATGCGTCTCTGAAGGCAAACAATTAAAAGGCAGTAACCTAGGATTAAAATGACTCAAACGCACTTGCTCGTGACGCTTGCATCATTCTGCTGCGTATCGGGTGAAGGTGACGAGAGTGATGAAACGCTAGTGTTTGCTCCGGATGACTCCGTAATGCTGACGTCTTTAACTCCATAATCTCTATGTTTTCGCTTATAACGCTGATTTTGGAACCAGATTTTGACCTGAACATATCTCTTTTCGCTCTAGCTCGCAAATATCAAAGTGTAGTACCTGCTCTCCTGTGAGACCTATCATTTGCGCAAAATTATCGCGTTCTGGTTGTCGTATATGTTCTTTTTCGGCAAACCTAAAACGATTCCTAGTTTATGTATGATTTTTCTTGTTTCAAAACCCTCCGAAAAGTTGTTTATGCGTTATCTAGCAGCTGTACCAAAAAGACTGTAATCTTCAGTACATTAGCTTTCATTAAAGATAAGAGCACCTTTCCGAATTTTTCCTAGTCTGTATCTACTAGGTTGGCTGAAAATAATTACGTTTTGACATGAAAATCTTCATGAAAACTTTAGTAGTTGTTCTATATCCATATCCTTTGTAGGTAATTAATTCTAAGCTTATTCTATCACAAATCAACAATTCAGGGTTTTTAATAATCAGTAAGGGACAGTTATGTCCCAACGGCTAAAATTCCAAAAGCTCTATTCTGCAAATAGTTTTTCCTACTCAGCGAATATTAACAGATGTGATCTGCTATTTCAGAATTCTTTGACCGGAAAAACCAAATGTTCTCATATCTGCGCACAATGAGAAAACTGGAATTTTCACTGTTTTGCGGATTTCTTTCATTGCAATGTAAATTCCACTTGAATTGACATATGTTCCAATTCTCATTAAAGTGCTCCTTCCAGAGGTACCTAATATTGGAAAAAATTATCTGCAGCATCTCTAGGAGCCGCAATATCGATCGAAATTATTTATTAGCCAGCCTTTTAGTCAAAATCGGTCTTCTTTTTTTTTGAAAGGGAAATTTTCAAATTTATGGATGTGATAAATCCCATAACAATAAGATACATCAAAAATTTGGAACGCACTTAATGGAGACTAACGATTTGATCAAATTACTTGGAGGGATGTCATTTTGTTGAAACTAGATAGATCACAATAGTAGTAATGAATTTACTCCATCGCCATAAAGTCGGCAATTTTGGTTTCAGGAGTGTTAGTCATAAAACGCTTTGGACTATTTCCACATTCTATTGATTCTCATTTTTTGCATTTGTAGAAGAGATCAACAGATTGAAATATACCTGCGGTGAAGCATATTCAGTTGCAGTTTCGTAAATAGGTTACGTTTCTTTTTGTACTTGCCACCAGCTTGCGCACCTGTAAAGACGTCGTATTTGTTTTCCTGCCTTTTTACCGTAGAGAGATTTTTTTCGAATCCTTTTGTATTGAGATTCAAAGACTCAACATTAACTAGATTATTTGTTTATTAGAAAAACTTTTTGAGTGGCATCAGTGCGCACTACACCGAGAAATGTTAGCACGACAAGTTTTTTCTATTGAAGACACATAATTCCCTTTAATAATTTACTCACTTTGTGCTCCGTAGTTATACCAGCTTGCCATGCCAGGATAAGTCATTGGATGTGCCATGGTCATTGGCATTGGATATCTAAAAGTATTTATTAGGTTGGCTAAAAAAAAAGTTCATCGTGGCATACAAATCACCATAAATTCCTTACTCATAACTTTTTGTGAAGTAGTAAGCCTCCACCACTCACATATCAGCTACTTACGACTTTCTATTATAAGTAAAGGACGATTATTCCCCGGCGTTGCTAAATTTTTAAAAGCTCAGATCGTGAGCTTTTCAAGTTTTGTTTCCACGCTGTTATGGATACAGAAGTGAGTGTATTTTGGTATCTGGTTACAGAATGCGCGTAATGAAAATTGGGTGTATACTTTACTGTTTTTTGTGGGAAAATAAATTTTCCAGGAGTATTTATATTTTAGTTCTTAGTGAGGCTTCTTCCGGAGGCATCAAACACTGGAAAAATTTGTGTGCACATTTGTAGGAGCCACAAAAGCGACACTACTTATTTATTAACTTAGCACATGAACTATCATTTAAGTGAGTAAAAATGAAATCTTACCCGGATTGCCCACCGCCCGGTACGGGGTAAGTGTAGTAAGCTGGTGGCATAGACATCCATGGAATCTCGTCGAAAATCCCTGTTGCTGGGTATGAACAGGTGCCAGTCTCCATCTAAAGTGAATATTAAGATATTATTATCTTCTGATTTTTGATTATTCTTGGCTGGGAATAAATAGTATTTCGTAAATTGTCGAGTGAGACTCAAAATCGAGAAGGTAGTAACTTGAGCATGAAAGTAGCTAAAGTGACATCCCGAAGCAGTACTTGGGTGTGCACGATGATATTCTGATACTCCGCCCATCTTTCTTACCCACTGTTATACAGACAGCGTCTGGTGCTACCCAGGTTGCCGTTGGCTATAGCGCCCACCTGCAATATACAGCCGAGACCGGAGGCATTTTGTTGAGAGCACTTCAGTTTCGAGAACTGCTATCGAAACTGAGTACCTCTGGAGGCGAATTCATGTAGCGGCACATCTCTTTCTGAGCTCTTCTACTGTAGCGTTTTGAATGACTGAATCTGGAAGTCAGCTTATCATTCTCATTATTGAGTTGGTGACAGCTCATAATTTCATCTTTTAAGGTTCGTGAAAAATCAATGCGCGTTTTTTGTCTTTCTGAGACGTTATTCCATCAAAATTTCTTTTTGTGTGAGCATAGTTTGAAAGCTATTGATTCTCTCATTCCTACTGGCCGAAACGCTTCTGACATTATGTAATGAGATTTTGTAGTACTTTGCACAGCCTTACTTGAAACAGGAACTTCTTTGCTTTCACATTTGGTTGGATTCAAAATGAATGCATTTCAAAAAATTTCTTCTCTATGTGGACAAAAATTGTTTGCATACTGCACAGTTAGTCATTTTTTTTTTTTGAGATTGGACAAATTTATGGCCAAAAGTCAACCGTTGCCTCTCTTTCATGGCAAAAAAAATCTTTCGAAAAAAACATTTGCCAAAGCTTTGCTCGTTTTGTAAGTTGCAAAGTTTTGACAATACAGAAAGAATCTTGGATGACTTGCTGCTTTCCGAGCGCCGTTAAATTTGGCATTATTTTCCTAAACAGGCCATCTTTCCGAGCCAGTTTTGGCTGTACATGTACTACTGACTCGTAGTTACAGGATAGGTTAAACTAACCGTACTGAGAAACCATGAAAAGAGCTATGATTTGTAAAACCAGGTTTTGAAAAAAGCTCTCTCTTCTACTTTTTGGTTTCTGCTCGTTGGTCAGACAAAAATCAAGAGATTTGATAAAGTTACATGTCAAGGTAAAACCTTGCAGAATAGGCATATTTTTTGCACCACCGAAAGTTGTAGCTGTTGCCCTGTACAGTACTTTTCGTTTTTGAATTCATTGGACCCTCAGATCACACTAAATGCTTCATATGATTACCAGCCTTGAAGCAGCCTTGAATTGGGAGATAAAATTTCAATTTCTCGTTCTTTTGGTTCGCATCAACCTCAGTAATCTATAGCTGAGTTTATATGATTAATTAATAACAGCTGTCAACACGTACACTTCAGTGACCTGCTCATTTCAGCACTGAGTGTGATGCAGGTGTGAACATAGCGAGCGTTTACGAACTGTGGTGGTTGACATTGGGGTCTCATGTATCTTGCAGGGGTGTCCTTGATAAGAAGTAACATCAGGAGGAGGGAGGGGGGGGGGGGGGAAGGAGGTAGTACGGGTAGGAGTCATGAACAGTTTTGAAAAGGGGATTACTACTCGAGTATGCAAAGTTTATGCAACACTCGATAGGGATTTGTGTCCCTTGGTATGAAGGTTCAGAGAGGTAGGTTTGGATCCTTTGGTAGGTCCAAAGAAGCATACATATATTGTGAAAAAAATCTTTTTGATTTTTTTGTGAGAATTAGAGTTTGCCATGAATATGTGAAATCATTTTCTTTTACGTTGAGCATAAAACAGTCGTAGTTTTCAAGATGACTTTTTGTCTTCAATGTCTTCCAATTCCGCTAGACACTGCCATTCTTCATGATGTTTTTTGCATAGCAGTGTCTGAATCTTTCCCAATCATCCGGTCATTCACTCCAGTCATACTCACACCTTTTTCATAGCGTCCACTAATCCCAGATATGGTTAATACGTGCTATGTGCGGCATACCTTTGATGTTATAGCGATATCAAGCGCTACACGCCTGCGGTAGCTAGCCATTGCATACTTATTTTGTAGACATTCTGTAATATTTGAGGTTAGGAAATTATTTAGTAAACACTGAGCAGGTTTTTTCGATCGTCAAGTGAGCGTTTCCTTTGTGCAGACATATATTCAAAAATCGATTTTTTTTACATCTCTTCTCCAAAGTCGTGACACTCGAAACCATTCAGGCTGTAGCTGTGCTTCTAGTTCAAATCACATACTTTTCATACCGAAATTCTCGTCACTATGTTACTTACGGTAATTTTGGGGTCGCATTGCTCTAGTTTTCTTATCAGTGGGTTTACGATCTATGAAGTGGTCATTGGCTAGGTGTTGCTGCATGAGGCTATAGAGATTGGGCTATTGCTGCCTCGGGGGATCACTCGTTACTAACTAACAGTTATAGAAATGACAAATTTGATAATTGCAAGGCGAATTCTAATAACCAGATGATGGGTGTTTGCTTACGGGATCTCGAAAAAACAGTTACAAATTTTAGGAGGTATCCTATTGAATAGCTAAAATATTTATTTAATGGCTTGGCTCCGAATTGTTCTATCGCACTAAGCTTTTGGTTTTTTTGTTGGTGCAGTATTTTTTCCATATCTTCTGGACTCTCTCATCGTCAGCGGGAGAGGCCTATACAGTTTGTACCAAAAAGATGTGCTTACTGTTTGATTGTTAATAACTCTCTTGTAATGAAGTCTTTCGAGCTTTAGGTACCATTTTGTAGAGCTGGCTTCCTTAGATTTACAGTATGGTTCGAATCAGAAATCCCTCCTCACTATTGTAGGATTACGGTATCAGCCTTGAGGAGGGTTTTGAGTAAATAAGGGTCATATCTCACCAATAGGACCAAAGCAGCTGAAGCTCCTTAGGTTAATCAGAGTCGCAGATTTCAGACATGAAACGCACTTACCGTAACACATCTTTCATAACTTATGCCAGGTATACCACCACAACCAGTTTCTGCTATTCGTCAAAAATCTGACTAATCCATTTGAAAAGCTCTACGAAAGCGCGTATTTTGTGGACTGAAATTAGCATGAAAACCTTCACAGTTTGTCAGATTTTGTAAATTTTTTTCCAAACGACCTTACACTACAGCGCTGTTAGCTGCAAGTTCCTATTGGGCTCATACAGCAATGAAGATAGATTTTTAATTTAATACTGTTTATCTAAGCTGAAGCCAGCTCTACAAAACGGTACTTAAAGCAAGAGAGTTACTAACAACCAAACAGTAAGCACAATTATGAGACACCATGCATAATGTGGCAGTTATCCGTGAAGAAGTAGCATATATAACATGCTGCTTTCTCAACGAAATCTATGCTTTGATTTTTCAATGGACCACATGTATCTGTTCGCTGATCACACTTGGTTTGAAATCATTATCTTGAATTATTGCAGTGGGTTGGATGGCTAGTAAGCCTTCCATGGAAGAGAAGATGGAGACAATGCAGATCAACGGTGATCAGGTATGTGATATGACCACAAACTTCCCTAATTTCAATATTTCTTTTTCTAACCATTATGAATGATTTTCTGTAGAAGGATGAAGAGCAGGAAGATCTAGTAACGCCGTGGGATGTTACTGCCACCAGCGCTACTGGCGTTGATTATGACAAGTTGATAGGTACACAAGGATACTGCTCAGGCATTTTTGAGGGTTTTTTTTCTCGAAATTTACACTTTCAGCAAGATTTGGATGTCGGAAACTTGGCCCTGAACTTATAGAACGGTTCAAGAAAATCACTGGTCGAGAGCCTCATCCAATGCTGCGGCGAGGTTTATATTTCGCGCATAGGTACATGTTTCCATCATCATCCATCATTTCCACCTATTTCTAATTATTCTGGGACTGAAAGTTTATTTTGCAGAGATTTATCCGCCATTCTTGACCGTGCCGAGCAAAAGAAGCCTTTCTTTTTGTACACTGGTCGTGGTCCATCGTCCGGAAGTCTGCATCTGGGGCATTTGATTCCGTTCATCTTCACAAAATGGTTACAAGAAGTATTCGATGTTCCTTTGATTATACAGGTAATCTTTAGTGGTGCTGGTTGTATTGAGATGAATAAGTCTTGCGATTCAGATCACTGACGATGAAAAATTCCTATGGAAAGATCTCAAAGTTGACGAAGCTAAGAAAATGGCTCGCGAAAACATGAAAGATATTGTGGCTGTGGGATTTGATCCTGCCAAAACTTTCATGTTCAACGACTTTGATTACATGTGGTGAGTTTGAACTTTGTTATTTTCTGCTCTCGTTTTTGCCCCTTTTCCTTTTTGGTTTCTTGGCTGTGATGTACACTTAAACCTTTCGTGGAGCACAAAGATTGAGTTATGCATTTTTGTTATCAACATGAATTGTGGCGTTCAAATCTTTCTGCTTGCAGTCCTCCATTCTATCAAAATGTCTGCAAGATCTGGAAGTGTGTGACAGGAAATCAGGGTAGAGCGATATTTGGATTTACGCCTGAAGATAGCATGGGAAAAGTGGGTTGGAACTTTTTTATTTTTTGGAAGTTTCGAAGTTTCATGTTGTAGGCTGCCTTCCCAGCAATCGAAGCAGCTCCTTGCTTCTGCTCTTCATTCCCACATATCTTCGGAAAAAGAACCGATATTCCTTGTCTTATTCCCTGTGCAATAGATCAAGTGAGTGCCAAACCTTGAAAAAATTGGTTTTCTGTGAAGACCTCTAAATACTCGCTGACAAGCTTTAGCCACCTTTTTTAGGACCCGTACTTCCGTATGACTAGAGATGTAGCTCCACGTCTAAAATATCCCAAGCCTTCCTTGATTTACTCAATGTTTCTACCAGCTTTACAGGTCAGTAAGCAGTTATGTAGACCTTTTGTTCAACACCATTTTTGTTGCTGATGCTATCTTTCGTTGTCGCTGTTCATTCGTAATTTATCTGTGTGCGATGAAAAGCTGGATACTTGTGATATAGTATTTTATTTAGGGTGCGCAAACGAAAATGGCTGCTAGCGACGAGACTTCCTGTATATATCTTTCTGATACAGCGAAGCAAATCAAAAATAAGGCGAGAACGTATCTTACCCAGTTTATGCATCTTGAGTATGATATCTCTTTCAGATAAATAAATATGCATTTTCTGGTGGACAGGCATCTGTGGAAGAGCATCGAAAACTTGGAGGAAATTGTGATGTGGATATCAGTTACCAATTCTTAAAATATTTCCTTGATAGCGATGAGCGTTTGGAAGAAATTCGAAAGGTTCGCAGTTATCCCTATTTTTTTCTTGTCGTGCCCTTTTTTCGATTCATTTAGTTAAGAGGAACTTATAGTTATGCAGCATCTACACGGCTCTCAATGCTGAATCCATTTTTCTTGTCATAGGCTGCGTTCGTGCTGATCCGGAAATTCGCGAACAGTTTTAGCACAGAATAGTTCCCGGATTTCAGGATCAGTATGAACGCAGCCATAAAACTGCCTAATATGCTACGGTTCTAATCTAATAAGGCGGAAAAAGTTGTTTCTTGGTAAGACAGAAGTAGAATTTTCAGCACTTGCACCCAAGCACAGCGCTACATCAGCTCTGGCAACGTATCTGGGTGTGCTAAAAAAGTTTGATATAAGACTGAAAAATCACCTCTTAGTTGATAATGTAATGCGATATCGTTACAGCAATATACATCTGGTGAAATGCTGACAGGCGAGCTGAAGAAGTTGGCCATAGACGAAGTGACAAAGGTAATTATGGAGATGCAAGAACGACGAAAACTTGTGACGGATGAAACTGTAGATGAATTCCTCAAAGTCCGACCCTTGCAGTACACTTTTTAAAAAGCTTACTATCTGTTCTTTCTGAGTCTATGTATATCCCAAGTCTGGATAGAAAAGTAAGTAAAATATCGCTTCTATAAAGTTTGAAAGTCTACGCCGTATGCCCAGCAATTTATTCATCACAAAATGTTATTGTTGTTGCCTATCTTCTTCGTTCATTTCTCTTCTATTTTTTCCCTTTTGCGGAGTTTGGCACATGTTTCCTTGTTATAAGCTAGTACAGACTGTGTCAGTGGCGTAATTAGAAGGAGGAAAGGGGAGGGGTATTGTAAAATCGTGCATTCAGTTATTTTTATTAAAATTTGGAAAACATTTGAGTTGGAGTCAAGCGTGAACATTTTCGGATATGTTGGATGGATGCCTTTCTTAGGGATTAAAAAAAAACACCTCCGCTTTACTTATTCTTGTTCCCTCGCTCCCTTTTCTTAAGAAGTATTCTTACAGCCATTTTTGAGTACGATAAATATGATATTTATGCGAAAAGCATCGAGTTTGATGCTGCAGCCGTAACATCATTTCGTCAATAACTTGAATCTTTGAAACCCCGGTTTCGATTTACTTGTGCTTTGTTGTTGTTGTTGTTTTGTTGTTGTGGTTATAGGCCAAAATTTCTTAGTCTCTTCTATGTCATTTGGTCTCTGTGGTGGGGTAGTTGGTCGCTTCTTGGTGGGGAATCCTCTTTGTATCGTCTAGACTGCTTCTTTCCGATTATAGCTCTTTTTGCGAGATTCTACATACTTTCACATAAATATTCCGTATTGATGCACTTATCAATAAAAGTCTATCTTGGTGGCATGTCTGTTCTATTTTTGCTCTGTATTACTTAGTACAAGATCCGAGCAGGTGTTTAAAATGTCATGTTAAGCAAGGGAACGGTTCAAGTTTTTTACAAAATTGCAAAGCCTCAAGGGGCACCTCAGCGTGTCAGTTAGCAGTCGTTCCCTTGCTTTGTGTGAAGTATGACAATATTAGTCAAAACTCTACCGGTTCAGGTTGGAATGATTGAGTTGATTCGAGTGATTTCATTGATTTTTCCCTCTTACCAGAAAGGATTCCTGGTCGAAACAAACACGAATCATGAAAGAGAGCAGAAATCTGGGAGGTTTTATTTGAAAACCTGTTACAAAGCGATCTTATCGAACTCTCACATCCTAAGATGTTGTAAAAATTTCGGCATCTCGAAGGCATTTTCACTGGCACATCACCGACTGTATGCATAAAAATACTAAAGAAAAAGCAGAATGCTGAATTGGCAGTTGTGGTGTTGGTTGAAAATTGTACCTACTAGCAGATGGCATCCACATCCTGTTTATTTCGTCTATCAATATGTGCGGTTGCACAGAATGCAAACATGAGAGTTACATCGTATCTTCAAACATCTTGCCTCCTAATAAGGAAATTTCAAACAGTTTCTGTAAATGTCGGAAAAGAAAATAAAGAGACGATAGAAAGGCGTTGACCCAACAAAAGCGTTTTAATGGGCAACGAAATCCGGGATGGTGAGCTACTGCCTTTAAATACTGAAAGCACATTTTACATTTCGTTTCAACATATATCCGATGCACTTGTGAAGTTATTTCGGCATGAGCTACTCTTCACCATATTTTTTCGTTCGTTATGGGGAAAATTAACAACTGAACTTTTTTTTGCAAAAGCGAAGCGTATCAGCTGAATTGTGATTCAGAGCTTTGCAGTTGTTCTATAGAATCATTCTTCATATGTAGTTTTTGCAAAGTTTTCTGCATTGTACCGGAAAAACAAGAATCTTCTCAGGTGATGTCTTCTGAGACTGAATAGAAACAAAACCCTCAAAAACAAAATAATGAAAGCCCAAAGCACATCTGTATAGCGGATGTCTTTATAATGAGAGCATTATCGTACAAGATCAAATAAGGTAAGCAAAAAAGTGGCTTTTGGCTCAATTTCAAAAAACAATAGAGTGCAAGTCCCACTGTAGTCGCTTGCAGCGGCAAATCAAAGTGAATTCCCGGTGTGCATAAGTAGTAAGTTCTGACCCATGGAAAGCGAATACGTACGACGTAAGACGTATTAGAGTGATTCAAATGGTGAAGCAATTCCAAAAATGAATAGTCGCCAGTGCTGGTGAATTTTTTTTGTATATTTTCATTTTTTTATTTAGGTTGCCAAAACTGTTAATCACTGAATTGTTCACGAACAAATATTCAGTGATTAAATGACGAGACAGTTGTTCTACCACAAAATGCAATGATATATTTTTTGGCTATAATTGCACTAGAGCCATGTTTTAGTACAGAATGAAGTTTCTAGGCGTTATTCTTGCTGTAAGTAAATAGCACACGACCTATAGGTTGTCCTAGAACAAAGCTCTAGCTGTTTACCCTTTTCTTCCTCTATGAAGGAAGATACGAAGAAACGCGCACGCATGTTCAAAGCCACTGACACGGGAAGAATTGGAGACCATGGCTTTTTGCAGTAAAATGTATACCAGTAGAAGCGCCCTAAAACGCTGATTCCAAATCTTTGTTCATTATCTGCTGTGTGATTCTCTGGTCGAAGATATGGACTTCTTTCCATATTAATTTCACTAGACCTAGGCTGTCAGAATCGTCAGTATCCAGCCTTTTTAGACTCCGATATATCAGACACAGTTTTTCTGAGCTTAACGTAAAGCTTTATGTTATTTGGACGATTTTTTTGCAATGCCTGAGTGAATATTCTAACGATATCGGTGATTCTTGTCATCAAAACAGTGCAAATTTTGGTGGCAAGGCATGTTCATAGCCTTTGCTTCAACCAGATCGGCGGCTAGGGGGCGGGGCTCCGTGACCCAACTGAGACTAGATCAAAGAGCATGTTTGCGAAGGAGGCGCAGACTGCGTCGCCGGCGCGAGCAGTCGCCTCCTAGGTCATGGAGCCCCCTGCCAGCGGCCGATCTGCTTGAAGCAAAGTAACTTCTTTGAGAAGAGCGCATAGCAGATACCGAAAGCAGACTTGGAATCAGCGCTTTAAGATGTATTCAATGATGCATGTCTCGACCACGACCACTGATTGTAAGTATCATTCCCTTGTGAGCTATCCAATGCAGTGAGTGATGGCGGAGTTTAAACGACTCGCCCGATGGTAGGTCTAACAAGGAGAGGACATTTGGTCAAAGCGGCTTTTCAATATAAGAAAACTTTCTTATAGAGATGGAACGCTGAAACTAAATCTGCTTAACAGTACGTGCAAAGCGCTTGTGGGATGGGAGTTATGAGGGATTTTTCAAGCAAAATTTTTAACACACGGCTACGATAAAATCATTCAGAATTTTGTCTGTGAGCTTAAAGGGGGCCTTGATCACCGCCAGGGAGCTTTGCAAATTTTCTTTTCTCTGATAAATTCCTCGACACTTGTTTTTTCCAATCTTAGCGTAACCCTTGAGTTTTTAACCTAAAAAATTACCTCATTCGACCTTTGGAGTTCAGCACACTTTGAATTGTCCTTCAATCTCTATTCTTAAATAATACACGAACGGACAGGAAAAATTTTTCTTGAGATAGAATACTATTCAGTAAGATAAAAAGCGTGATTTGCATTCATATTCTCGATCGCTTGTGACAACAGCAAAGACAGTAAAACAAATTGAGTTCTCCATCCCTTAGCTTTCCTAGAGGATGCTTGAAAAGAATCAGAAAAGAGCGATAAATAACATTGACCCGGAGTAGGTGCTCCCTATGGTTACAATATCTTTGATCAGGTTTTATAAAAAATTACAAAGTAAGAGGGTCTGCGAGAACCAAACTATGTGCAGTGTGTGCAATTGCACATATCAAGATATGAAACGACTGGAGTGTGTAGTATACTTGGGTCCGAATCGAATGAAAATTCGATCATATTCTCATTCGAAATTCGATATTGGAGTTCTTCCGTTTTCAAACAATATTCGAAACTCGAATACAAAAGAGGGGGTTCCGAGTAAAATTCGAAACTCGAACAATCAAAAAAAAACTGGGTTCGAATAAATTTCAAAACCTCGATTAATCAAAAAACGGAGTGTCGAATAGATTTTGTTCGAATGTTTCCGAATGTTTTATTCAAATTCGTATTCGAATGAAATCTGTATCCAAATTATTCAAGTTTGTTGCTGAGCCAACTGCTGAGTAACAGCTCGCCGCAACGCTCGATAACGCATCTTTTTGCAGCCGTGATCATCTTTGTACTGTATAGAAGCCCAAATTTCTCCAACTCTTTGTGACAGTTCAAAGTTAGGTACAAATTTTGATTGATTGCTTTTTCGATCAATGAGATAGTTCGCAATGCTGTTGAAAACAAATCAGCAAACAAACAGCTATCAAATTCAAGCTCGTGGTCCGAATTCGTATACGAAAAGGAAATATGTTGATTGCCTGTCTCTCTTCCTTTGGCTTGCTCACGATTTTGGTCCGCAAAAACTCCACACTAGTAAGCATTCTTGCTTGTAGCTTTATTGCACAATTGCTTCAATTCTATTAGGCTGGCTAATAAATAAGTTCGGTCGCTTTTGCGGCTCTTACAAATGCTGCAGACAAATTTATGTTCGATCTTTGGTTTTTCTGGAAACAGCACTTCAGTGGGAATTGGAGTATAAATTTTGTTTGGGTGGAACTTATCTTCCAAAGAAAAAGTCTGCAAAGAAGTGAGAAACCCCAATTTCCTCATAATGTGCAAATATGAGGAAATCTGATTTTTTTAAATGAAAGATTTTCAAAATGGCAGATCACAGTTATCATTGTTAATCACTCGATAAGGAAATCTCCCCTGTATCCAAATACCGAAATGCTGTTCTCTACATCCATTATAGCATGAAAACGAAGCCTAGAAAGTCAGAGAATTCAGTTTCTGGAAATTTAGCCATGTTGAGGCATAACTATCTTTATTGATGATAGAAAATCCTAAATATTTGTTGTGTGATAGAGGAAGCTTTGAACTACTTTCCCACAAAAAGTCATGGACAAAAAACAACAAGAAAATTTCTAATGAAGATTTGCATGCCAAAACGAGCTTAATTTTTATCCAACTTAATATTTTCAGAGATTTTTGACGGGTTTATCTTGACATTGAGTGAGACATTGTGGTTGTAGTAAAAAATTAGCGTTGCTGATCAATTTTTGATCTAGGGGCTGGGAGGTGGTGCAGGGATGAAAATGACGGTGACTACAAATAAAAATTTACTTAATTGGTTTTCCGATTTTTGGAGAATCTTGAGCTACAAGGCTGGGAGCTGGTAAAGAGGGGGGGGGGGGGAGAGGAGGTACATAAGTGAGGGTGCAGATAATGAATAAAGATCTGATTTATTGATT